CCCGGTGAGAATTGCCTCCATCGGATCATCATCGGATTCATGCGTGTCTCAGCTGGAGGTCGCCGATTAATTTTCCATCTAGAGTAGATGTGCTAAGCGAAGATTGCCATATTCATCTATACTAAAGATACTAGCAAGGGTAGCTGATTATGGGAAGAGTTATATAAAGAATATCTTTTAGCACCTTCCTTTATTTAGTTTGCTAGCTTAGGGGCTATGCCTCTTCTTATAAAGGAGCTTACACACCAACCTAACGATGATGCCAGCTAAGTGGTATGGGGACGATGTTACTTTTGAGCCTTTATTTATCGTGTTGAGATGATAGGTCTGGCATCTTCTACTTCTGTTGTTTACTTGATACTCGAACCCTCATCAGGTTACTTTTGGGAACACTTTCTCGTGGCCTTGAACATTAATCGCAGAGGGGTTCAAAGCCTACGTGTTCTACAATAATCGCACCTCCCTAGCTGCAACACTCCACAAGCGTGATCTGACTAACCAGCCCGGTGATCCTATCCGGGGACTAATTTGCACAGACATAGAGCAATCCGGTTTAAATGTCTCAAGAGACTGTATTATTAGCACAGGCGGTTCCAATCTGGAGACATTGGCGTTCAGCCAGAAAAGGCATTGGCAGGTGGAAGTGGCTGTACACTACACGTTAGAAGTTCTCAGCAGTTTCGCCCAAACCAAAAGCATCAACTCTCCACCTAGTTCTGGTCGGAACTCATCTGTCAAGATCTTGATACGCGCCCCCTGCGACACTTCTTTACGCTACGCGACCCCTGAGATCCCTTCTGGTACGATGCCCCTGCGATCCCTCGAGCCTGGGCATAAATCATTTCCGCGCGCATTCATTATGACATGACTGCGCTTCTTGAACCAGGAAGCGGAAGGTCGTTTACGGACAGAACATCATTATGAGCTGAGTAACAGAATAGTTGCCTCTATCGAATAGCTTCCACATCTTACCGCACAATCTCTAGTTATTTATGGAATACCCCTATTCCCAAAGGTGTAGCTATCGGCCGAGAATCAAGCACGCGACCAACCTCGGATCAGACAGCCAATTTCCACCGGGAACCACATGTGAGCGACATGTATCTAGAGCTTGAAATCGACAATCCGAAGACCGCCTCTCCCGCTAGAAAGAACAGAACCGACGGTTATGTGATTCACACTTCCCGATGATTGATCCTTGGTTACACTACCGGGATCGAATAATTCAAGAATACATATATTCTCTGAGATCTGTTGATTCAAGGACCGTGCGCGTTCCGGCGATCCGTGGGGTCGGTGGGACATATGTACGACATCAAGGCAAGCTTTGATCAAAAGGGGGGCTTTCTACCAAATTTTGAGATGGATGGAGAACTGGGTTAGCCAGCTCTCCACTTCCCCAGTTGGTAACAAATCTTCTTCAAACTGAGCCCCGTGAGACTCGATTTTCCAGGGTGATTGTAGACCTCGTTTCGTCCACCAGATGGAAAGAAAATCCCATTTTGCCTCCTCGTCATGTTGTTTTGCAATGGAGATATCCTCACATGATCAGGTTTCCACCGCCAAGGAAGAGCAGACGATGGTTGTGGGAACAAACTTATGTTGACTAGGCACTCACGGTCAAGGATGCAGCAGCCGCGGAATTCCGCAGGTCCAAACCAGGGTCAGAGCCGCCTACATACTTCATCTACCCTATACTTACACGCCTCGGGATCATCAAGATGGAAGGGACGCGCTTTTCCTGCACTGGTGATGTACGGCGGTTAGAAAGCATATGGAAGCATCAATATTTGAATTCTTCAGATGAAGATGTTAGAAACTTTGTAGCTTTTCCATGCTGGGTTCCTAAAAAAAACACCCTATGCTATTACAAGTGTAGCCAGTTTATCGGCGTCACATGGGTTAGGGCTTGTCCCTGACAACCGTTGGGGCATTTGCCCGCTGCAGAGCTGGGATATATGTCGAGGCAGACGTTTATCGCTATCGATAGCTTGAAGCTGTTCACACTCATTATGCGGAGTACCGTGGGGAATCTGGAGTGACCTCGATCGGCTTAAGCCGAATGACTGGTGGAGCGGGCGTTCGGGTTTTGGCCGATGCCATCATGGTTCGGACATTGCAAAGCCGTGTGTGGCATATAAGGTTTGTAGATGCGAAGGAGAAGTAATGGGCATCGCCTAAAGAAAGATCCATTGCCCTTTCGCCCTCGCCACCCTCAATCATGACACATCCTGCCAAAGCAGTGCCAGCTGGTGCCTGGGACACGCATCATCACATCTTTGAGCCGGAGCGATTCCCCTTTGCTTCTGGGCGGCACTTTACTCCCTCAGTAGCTACCCTCGATCAACTCAGAGAATTCGAGGCGTCCATTGGCGTCGAGCACGTTTGTATTGCTCACGGACTTTCATACGGCCCTGACTGCACTTCTCTCTTGTACTACCTGGAGCAGTTCAAGGGGACCGCTCGTGGCATTGGTGTCATAGATGAGCAGGGCATCTCAGATGAGTTGCTTGATAAGTACCATGCCGCAGGCGTGCGCAGTGTCCGACTGGACTTTTTCAAAGCACAGGCCATGAACAACTTGGACAAGCAAATCGACATGATCAAGCAAACCGCCAACAGGCTCCTGCGCTGGAAGCCCAATGGCAATGGCTGGAGCGTGCAAATGCAACAGCCAAATCTCACATACTGGAAGCAAATTCGCGAGGTCGCCAAGGACCTCGGCCTGCCTATTGTGATTGACCATATGGCGCTCGTGAAGGCGGCCAGCATGACCCCGGAAGGGGTTGAACTGGCCCTCAGTCAACCGGGCTGGAAAGATCTCTTGGGTGCCATTTCGGATGGAAACGTCTGGATGAAGATTTCAGCACCGTATCGGAATTCTCGTGCTGATCCTACCTTTGATGATCTCCGTGATATTGTGACAGGGCTGGTTCACGCGAACCCGAAGCGTGTTGTTTGGGGTAGCGATTGGCCTCACACTCAGCGACACGAGGATCGACATCTGAGGAGCCCGGATGAGGTTGAACCTTTCTTGAAGATTGATAACAAGACTTGGATCCAATCATTGAGCACCTGGCTCACCGAGGAAGAGTGGACGGACTTGTGGGTAACAAACCCTCGGAAGCTGTATGATTATTCTTCGTAAAATTTGAGTATTATGTAGCATTAGGTTGTGGCACCAGTTGCATTCTCAATAAATTGTGCGTATAGCTGATCCATTTAAATTGGGCTTCATTCAGTTTACAAATCTATAACTGTTTGTAGAGGCTTCGTGAAGGCTCATACTCATCAAGGAACCTGAGATTACGGTGATATAGCAAGACAAGGACTTTGCATGGGTATGACCTCTTTCCGTCTTGCGTGATAATATCTCTGTATCTTTAGCGATACCTACCGATCTTCAGATAATTGAGGGAGACTCGAACGTATACGGCGAATGAAGGTTTGCCTTTTTATTTACGCTGCCAAAGAATACTTCTACTTTTAGACAATGAAACCAGGACCAACAACCCCATCCTGCTCTCAAACTATTCTACAATACCAATATACAAACACCACGAAGATGATGTTTCCTTCCCCTTATGATAGCGCCGCTGGAGTTGTTTCTAATTCTTAGTTCCCTGAGCAGTTCCATCTGGATGGGAAACATCCTCTGCAAAGTCCACGGTCTCCTTCTCTTCTGTGGAAGCGTTGGCGGCCTTCTGAGACTCCAGGACTTTGAAGCTGGCGCGTCCGACCTTGTACCAAGGCATGGTAAAGAGCTCGTCCATGGATTCCATAGATAGGCCCTTGGTCTCCGGGTAGGCAAAGAAACAGTAAATTGTCATCATGGTAGTGAACAGGGTGAAGAGAAGAAAGGGACCCCATGCGTGCATGGCGATGACCATGTTGGGCTGACCTCGCGACAAGGCGAAGTTTACCAGGTACTGCCATGTGATACAAATGGACATGCACGTGGACCGAAGCCTGTTGGGAAAGACCTCGGCGTTGATAATCCAGGGGACGGTGCCCCAAGAAATTGCGTAACCCAGCGCAAATATGTAGATACAAACGACAGCAATCCAGCCGGCAGGACCGGTGGTGTTGCTGGAGGAAGGGTTCGCAACGGCGAGATAGATTGTGATGTAGGTGAGAGAGAAAATGATCAGGCCAGAACCAATGAACAAACCCCTGCGACGACCGAACCGATCGACTAGGAATAGACAATACATTAAGACGGCAATAAACTTGATCAAGCCATAGATACCGGAGAAGAGATAGTTGGTAGAGGAAGACTTGAGTCCGATGGAAGACAGGATAGAGGTGTTGTAATATGTAATGATGTTACCACCGGAGAACTGGAAGCCGACTTGAATAATCATGACCATGGCCATCCTCTTGCGGATACCGGGAGAGGCCAGCTCGTGGAAAAGTCCCTTGATACCAGTTTGAACAGCCTTTTCTTCCAGAGAAGCCTGGATAGTGTTGAATTCTTGGCGGACAAACTCGTGATCGCGGGGGAGGGAACGGAGGGTCTCCAGAGACTGCTCAGCTCGCTCAACCTTGCCTCGGGTAAGGAGCCATCTAGGAGACTCGGGGATAAGAAAGACTCCAAGAATGAGAATCACACCAGGTAGTGCCTGAACACCCATGGGAACCTGCCACTGAGTGTTTGTTCCGTCGGAAATGTTTTGGAGAGAGCCGTAGTTAATCCAATAAGCTAGACCGACGGACAACATAGTATTGGCGTTGTATAGGGCGGTTAAACCACCGCGGATTGACTGAGGTGCAATCTCAGCGATGTAACCTGGACCGATGACACTGGCTGCTCCAGAGCCGTAGCCCGAAAGGGCTCTACCGACGAGAAATTCGACGCGTCCGTTGCTGCCACCGGGATTGGCAGTCATGAGGACAGCGGAGGCGATGAAAAGAGCCGAGAAGAAAGCCAGGGAAACGCGTCGGCCCAGTCGGTCAGTGACGGGTGCGCAAGTGATGGAACCGAGACCAGACCCAAGGATGAGAATAGACGTAATCCATCCGGTCCAGTTGGCCAGATCACTTTCATCCATTTTGTTCAGTTGAAAGTAGCTTTTGAAGGGTTTCATGGCGAGAACGCCGGAGATATTTGCCGTGTTGAATCCTAGGATATGAAAACGCAGGGGTAAGCATGGGGTCATTGGTGCTGATTTCCTGGAGAATAATCTTACCATGAAGAGCACCCGAAAAAGACAAAATGATGCAGTATGCCACAATCTTCCACGAGATGACCTCCTTGGGAGTCTTCTCATAGACGGCTTTGTCTATGAGAGGCATGGCGACGGATGTGTAGATTGTCCTTGCAACGTTTGCGTGTCGTTGGACTTCTTGGCAGGGGTTGTGAGCCTCACAGTGCCTAATGAATCATCAAAGATGATCGGAAGTGCGAGGAAAGATCAAGGCAGATTACAACGGGGATTAAGGGGCCTATTTGAAGGGCCAGATTTCTAGCAGGAGTGACCAGGTTCTGTTCCTCTTACCAATCAGGAGGAAAATATGGCAGGGAATGGGGTTGGTCCCCATACCCCGTCTGTCCATATGACTTAAATCTTATGAATGCACGCGAGGTTATTTGCCCCAGATTGGGTTTGTTGTATACATCGCACGGCACAACTGTTCCGAGAGGGTTCTGAAAGGCCTAGACGAAGCTTTCCCCAATAACGTGATCCGGCATTTCCTTTCACCAAGCAAACATTCTAGCTCCAATAAAACCGGCTTTCCGGGTTTCTCTGGGTTAGTGACAACACGTGCCATGGGGTACACGAGTCAAGGTTTGGGCTTCGGCTGTGGGGAACTGGGTATAACTGAGTGGAATCGGCATGAGGCCGATGGTCACGAGGCCAAAGCCTGATGGCATGTCACTGCTGCAACCGAAGCAGCGTGGAATCTAGTCGTCTTATTTGATTCAGGTCCCGGCTTCCATGGTAACGTTAAATGACAGTGGACTTCATGCCTGCCCGACGTCATTGGTCACAAACTGAATCCTGGAGTCTGGGATTCTGGAGAATGTAGCATTCATCTCTAGATGATGAGATCTGTCTGAGGCCTACCAAAAACTCGAGCCTCAGGCCCCCCAGTACTGGATCGATGATCCAATTATTCGGTATTCTTGACTAGAAATTTCATTGCACGATGTTTCTGTGTATTCACTGTCTAACTTGTATGATCGTATGGGAAATTTCTTATGAACTCGGTCAACATTCAAGAGCTAGCCTTACCCGCCGACTCGAGAAACTCATGCATCACTCTCTCTATAGACTTCTGGTAGATTTCCACACCTTTCATCTTGAGGATTGTCAGCTCAAGTTCGCCAGCCTTCTCCGCCACGAAATCGGTATATGGGTCTCGAACGGTTTTGTTTAGATTAATCTTGACCATGCCGTGCTGCCTGGAGGTGCGGAAGAGCGCGTCAGAAACACCGTGTGTGCCGTGGAGAACAAGAGGTACGTTGGGAACGGCCCTGTGAATATCCATCAACCTATTATAATTGTCAGCAAATATGTTCCCGTGATCTGTGTGACCAGACATCAACATACAGCGGAAGTCTCCAGAACCCTTCAGGGCCCTTGGGGCCATAGTGGCCGTGAACATTTCCAAACGAGGGAGCCAGGAACTGAACGCCAGTCTCCCTAACAAACTCCTCAGCCTCCTGTGGGGTGGTGAGAATCATGTCCAGATCGACCGTGGGAAGACCATCCTCTCCCCCCTCAATACGTCCCATTTCAGCCTCAATGGAAATACCCTTTGCGTTTGCGCGTTGGACAATCTCCTTGCATCGTCTAATGTTCTCGGAAGGTTCGTGAATCGACGCGTCGACCATGATCGAGTCGAAAGGGAGCGTCAAGGCCTTTTCGACATCCTCGGGCTCGATACAGTGGTCCAGGTGGACAGCGATAGGCACCTTGGCAGCATGTGCAGCCGAGATGACATATTGAACAAAATGCTCGCCCTGGAACTTGAGAGTCCAGGGGAAGAGCTGGATAATGGCGGGAGAGTTGGTGGCCTCGGCGGCGCGAATCACAGCAATCACGCCGTCATCGTTGTAACTAGGAGGATATCATTAGATCCTGGTTTCCTTTAGTTGTTTGGCCTGACTAATCCAATCTTACCAGTTATACGCACCCACAGCATAGCCTCCCTTTGCTGCTGCATCCAGAATCTGGAATGTACGGTTGTTCTGAGGAAAAGTCGACATCGTGAATAGTGAATAATGAATTCTGTGGTTGACGAAACGTTTGCCGGGGGGCCTATTCAATAGATCTCTAAGACCGAACATGTGGTCATTGTATGTAATTCTTTTATTTTCCCAGATTTGAATGCGGGTGCTCTCCCGGCTTCAGGCCGATGTCGTGGGGCAAGACGGCTTGTGGCCGGTCTCGGGGCGTTTAGGTTCTTGCTTTGCGATTCTGTTAGCGGCATGCTCCAGGTATCGAGTCCGTTATAACTCCTTGATAAAGATGCAGCCTACGTTCTGATCTTCTGATTGTCGCGAACAAAATATCCAGCACCAACAAAATACAGGCAGAGACACTCACAGCACTTGCCATGTCAGCCTCCGAATCTGTTATCGATCGCCTCAAGCAGTGGTCCAGCTGCGACGTGAGTTAACTGTCCAATTCTCGGATTCCTGATATAATTGTGTTACTTATGCTGAAGGCGAGTTGTAGGTGTCTGATGGACTGTCGAAGCTCGGCCACGCCCATGGGGGCTTCCTCGAGGGAATCAATCTTTACTCTCCTGAATTCGTGACCGGTGATACCAAAATTGTAGGTCCTGCTTTCACTGTCAAGTTTGAGCCGAAGTCAAACACATCTGCGCCCAAGGTGAAGGGAAATTATGTAAGTAAATTGGGAAGAATTTGATGAATATCACTGACATACTAGATTGACCAAATTCCCCGCGATGCTGTCGTGTTCATCTCTCAGCCAGCTCCTCATATCAATGCCTGCTACGGCGGTCTGATGTCTCTCCGAGCCAAGGCTCTGGGCGCCGCTGGTGTGGTCATCGACGGCTCCGTGCGTGATCTTCAGGAGCACCGCGATCTTGGGTTCCCTGTAAGCCAACAATGTAGTAATTTAAAAGCCAGCTGAAATCTAATTTGTAACCAAAACAGCTCTTTGCCCGAACCCACGGCACTACGGCGGGAGGTGCTGTCTGCTTTCCCTCTCAGATCGGCGTTCCGATCCAACTGCAATCCTCCATCCAAGAGGCTACCATTAACCCCAACGACTATATCATCGCTGACAAGGATGGCGTGGTGGTGCTGCCGGCAGACCTGGCTGAGCAGGTCTTGGACATCATCCCCAAGGTCGTGTCGGCCGATGAGAAGTGCGCCGAGGCTATCAAGGGCGGCATGTCGGTAGAAGAGGCCTTTGCTACATTCCGCGGAAAGAAATAAGCAATTAGTAAAAGAATTTGAAAATAAAATCTGCCTTGAGAATATGTTCGTCTGGCCATCTTCAAGTTTCGTTTGGACGGACCAACGAGTACCTTGAGAGCCCTCTTCTAATCATATTGAGTTCGCTTTGTATGCCTTGCCTTAATCGCGATATCCGTCTGCGTATGTACATTCGATCACTTTCCCGTTTACTTTAGAACGCTCGATAAATTGTGTCTAGCCTCTGTGGCTATCACTGAGTGTTGGAAGGGCTTATACATGTAGCGTAGACTTTAGATATGAGTAACTTTTTTTTATCATCAATGGCAAAAGACCAAAATGTAAAGGAAAGTGTAAGGCGAGATCAAAATTACAGGGGGATCGTTAATATCAAAATTGAAGCGCGATTATAGTTTAACATGTGGTATGTTGTTTCATTGGTCTAATTATTTCGCCCCATCAACTCATAAGGATATATATATTTACAGATTCAGAGGCTCGGTAGACAGAGCAAGAGGAGTGACAGAATACTTGCTTGCCATATCCTCAAACATCTGCTTTTCGGCATCCGCGAAAGGTAGGCCCTGCTTTGTCCGCTCAACAGCTAGGCGGTACTCTGGCTCACCTGGGAAGAGGACCTCCTTGAAGCCATCAGCCGGCGTGACCCCGTGAACACGCTGTACTAGGGTGTCCATGCGAGCCCGGAACTGTTCGGCCGACATGAAAATATCGGGCTTGATGGCGATGAAGCAATGACCCACGTTCTGGGGACGGGCCTCCTTGTATTGGTCACCAACTGTGCCGCCAAATTCGGCGCCAGAGAGGACACCAGACATGATATCCATGAGAATGGCAATACCAGAGCCCTTGGGGCCACCAATTGGAGCCATGGAGCCGTTCAGAGCCTCGTTGGCATCTTCTGTAGGCTTGCCGTCCTTATCGTAGGCCCAGCCCAGGGGAATCTTCTCACCACGGCGAGCGGCACGCCTGATCTTGCCCTTGGCAACCACGGATGGGGCCATATCGAGAACATATGGGACTTCGCTCTGGCTCGGAGCGCCAGCAGCAAACGGGGAGATACCGAGAAGAGTCTCCTTTCCACCGAAAGGGGGCATCTGCTTGGCCGAGTTGGTAAAGACGAGGGAGATCATGCCGGCATCCAGAGCCTGGTTGACATATGTGGCAGCCATGCCGAAATGGTTCGAGTGTTCAGCAGTGACGATACCAATTCCATAGGTGTTGGCACGGCGGATAGCATCCTCCATAGCCTTGGAGGCCACGATAAAACCGAAGCCGTTGTCTCCATCGACATGAGCAGCAACGGGGGTCTTTTCGTGAATCTGGATGTTAGCAGTGGCGTTGACTAGACCACTGCTGACGCGCTCAACGTATTGTTGCAATCGTGCAAGTCCGTGAGTGTCCTAGAAAGATTTAGTTAGCAGGCTAGAAAGTGCTATGGCATGGCCTCAAGTTTGCTACATACAACACCACGAGTATCAGCCTCGACGAGGCACTTGGCCATCAGCTCGGCATGGTCTTCAGGAAGACCGGACTTGGTTAGAAGAGCCTTGGCAAAGGTCCTGGCCTCAGCCGGGTTAGCGTAGTATCGAGAAGCCATTGTTGATTTTTCGGTTCCTCAAGGAATGTCGTGATGGCTGAATGAAAGTAGAAGAAACCGGGATGATGCTCGATTTATCCAGCTCCCTTTACCCCAATTTCCTCTTGATATAGCTACTTTTTCTTTTTCCCCTCACCTTGGCTCGAGTCAAATGCCATCCCCGACCGGAGCTACCCCGATTTCTGGATAGCTCCGGCTAAGATGACGTTCGAGTGGCCTCACCCATCGGCATAAAGCCGACTCACTACATAGCCACATTTTCTTCTCAGGGTCGCGTGCCTATACAAAACCCGACTGGAATGATGTCCTCTGCTCGGGGGATTGCCGGACCGTGAGTTTAGATATCGGTCATTTTCCCCTTGGCATCCGCATCCCCCTTCTTCCCCAGCCATCATCCCGCACTTCTCGCACCCAACCCCGATCCAACAACCAACCTCCTATCTGGAGAATTGTACGGGGCCGAGATTCCAAGGGACAATAATCATGGATGAGCAGGAGGAGCCACCAAAGCGCGTCCCGGTGAAACCGACGTCTCCACCCACCCAAGCACCAGCGCCCACAACGGGTCCGACTCCAGCGCCTGGTCGGAAGAAGGGGACGGCATGTCTTCGCTGCCGCATGCAGAAGACGCGGTGTGATGATCAGCAGCCTGCTTGTGGTAGCTGTGCCCGTGTAGGTCGCAGCTGCATCCGTCCCGGAGCCCTTAACACGGCTGGAGGACTAAGGTGCGTCTATCCAGCCACAGAGCGGTTGTGTTTTCCTTCGCCACAGGTGCTGACTGTGCTCGTGCTTGGCGGAGCGCGTATAGCCACTTGAATCAAGTTGAAAATCGTCTTCGCTGGCTTGAAGAGGCCCTTCGGCAAGTGGCCCCTGAGAAGCTCAGCGAAGCTCCTCCTATCACCGCCCAGCCTATCGATCTCAATCATCAATATCCTCCGGCGAGCACCCCAATACATACAATCACTTCTTCCCATTCACAAATCCAGCCCCAAGATCCCGGACTATCGAATAATAATGTCGACCCACTTCTCCAGAACAGCTATGACTCTGGCTTCGATGGTAATACAGCGAGCCCAGCTCCATCAACACAAATCAAACCCAATGAGCCTCTAGCACATGAAGTTGGCCTTCTATCACTTGCCAACTCGAAAGAGTCTAAGTACCTTGGCCCGTCCTCCGGCGTTCCTTTTGCACGGTTGATCTTTTCAGCTATCCCTCAGTCACAAGGTCTAGCAACATGCTGGGCTACGCCTCCTTCAACGAATGCACAAGGAAACTATGACGATGACGCACAACCGTTCCCCTCCGATTGGACTTCCGAAGCCGACTTGCAACATTTTGTGGACGCCTACTTCGAGACATACCAACCGATATACCCGTTCCTTGACGAGGACGCAGTACACGAGTGGTTGCAGAATATCTTTTCGCTAGATAGCGCGCAGGGGATGCCTAGGCTGGTTGATATGGAGGCTTGTCTGTCACCAATTGCATCTGTACAGATATTCCTCATCATTGCCCTTGGTTCACGGACACTGGAATCTCGATTATCAACGGATTTCCTGTCTGGGAGGTACCTAGCTACCGCCATGTCTCGCTTAGACAGCCTTGCTCTGCACGACAGTATCGAGGGACTTCAGATCATGCTGCTGTTGACATTATGCAGCTTCAATTTCGTTAATGGGCCCAACGCGTGGTTCTTGACTGCGAACTTGATTGCAAGCTGTCTTGATCTTGGTTTTCAGAGAAAATGGTTAGAAGAGCCACAAGACATTGGCCTCCAGCAGAAGCGACAACTGGAAACGAAACGAACGCTTAGGAGTGGTATCTTCTGGTCAACATACTCCATCGAGCGGACACTAGCAGTTGTTCTGGGTCGACCGCTAACACTGAGGGATGAAGCGATCGATGTGCCCTTCCCGGGAGGCGAGGAGTCTCTACCGTCTTCGAACGGACGGACAGAGGTCCCAGACGGGCCAACGAGCCCGAAGCGTGCCAGACTATCGGTTCCTTCATATGTCGTGTCCCACTATTCTTTAACATTTGACCGCGTGGTTGCAGAGATCAAGTTGACATTGTATCGCGTCATCAGCCTCCCTGATCGATTTCCCTGGCCTACTGACATTCCCAAGTGGCAGCTAACAGTGCATGAGCACTGCGACAAGTTATATGCTGAGTCAATTCAGCAGCTCAGGCACAAGTCTCGTCGGAGTACAACTGATTTCCCCACCCGCAGCCTGGAACTCAAATATCACCAGTGCTTGATGCTTCTTCATCGGCCATCGCCTGCAGTAGCTCAGCCCACATTGGATTCCTGGAGGACATGTTATCACAGTGCTGTGAAGACCATCCTAATCTCTGCAGAGCTCCAGCGATTCCGCAAACTCAACAACAGCTGGCTCACCGCACACCAGATCTTCGTAAGCGGCATTACGTTCCTCTACTGCCTATGGATCAATCCAAGTCTCCTACGAGAAGTCGGCATAGAGACAACCACAAGCAACGCCGGGGAGTGCTCCTCGCTCCTGCGGCATCTGGGGAAGACGTGGAGCGTGGCCGCGGACTCCCTCGACAAATTTGACAAGCTCGTAGCCACCAGCATGGCCTTTTGGCGCAGCCGGGTGGAGAAGCAGGCGACTGAAGTACAGGCTGGCCATTCACTGATGATGATGCACCAGTCGGAGTGGAGGGCGAATGAGGACGGCACGCGCGTGGCTAACGCTGATACAAACGGGTTCTTCCCACCTGAGAACCAGTTTGATAACCCGAATGAATTCAACAATGTGGACTTTAGTTCGTTTTATATGGAGTTGGGGGATATGAGTTCGTGGTTTGATTTGGGATGGATTGATCAAGCAAATTATCCAACCTTTGGCGATCTGTAAATTTTATGTACATTATTTAAAGAAATAAATGCCCAAAACAGAACGAGCTCCTCGGAACAAGAGATATAATTGAATTTGAGAGCAAACTGAGGCCGAGAATCTGAAAAAAATGGCATGTTTAAATGGAATCTTGACACAGACAAATCAGAGCTAAGAAAAGAAGAGATGGAACATTATATCTCCAAATAAATTGTTCATTGGTATTTGAATGTGCTCGTTCCATAAAGACGAAAAGACTGCCACCCAATTTAATAAGTTAATTCGCTGAAACTAATCACATCTTCCAACACAGCCCGTCCTCTTTTCAACACGACTAAACTTAGTCACCTGATTCGATTCAATAACCGTACACAAAGTTTCGTATCCCTTGTCCAAGTTCTTGTCTTCTTAGGTGATGAAGCGGAAGGCGGCCCTCTGAGCCTGGCGCTCCTCCTCGGTAACACCACTAATCTCGGCCTGCGCCTCACCCTTCATCACATCGGCAACGTCTGCACCAGAATCAAGCTTCTTATTGGCTCTCTGCAACACGAGGCGCATCACAAGAGCAAGAATAATGGTACCGAGAGCAAAGGCAGAGTTTACCGACATTGCAAGCACGTACCGGGGCTTGTCAGTGTCCGGGTAAAGGTATGAGGTCCAAACCTGGGAGATGTTTCCGAAAGCGTTCACAAAAGCAACGGCGGCAGCCCGTTTAATTCGAGGTCGCAGCATCGTCTTCTGAGTCCAGGCCAAAACAACCGCGTTGGCACCATGGCCGCCGCCAACCATGAGCATCATGGCGAAGTAGCGGGGGCCGACCTGTAGAGTCGCAGCAGCGACGACGAAGCCGATGATGGCCAGGGCCAGGGGCCACATGACGTGGAAGGAGGAGTTCTTGAGACGGTCGGCGGACCAGTTGTTTGAAATGGAGATTATGAGGCCCAGAATGTAAGGGGGGGCGGTCAGCAGAAGAGTGTTGGTTCTGTTGTAGCCAAGAGTCTGGACGACCGAGGGGAAGAAGTTGGAGGTGGCGGCGGCGACCTGGAGGCAGAAGAACATGCCGGCAAAAATGTAAAGGCGCCAGTCCTTGAAGGCGAGCTTAAAACCGTGAGACCAGTTCTCGTCATCCTCATCGACCTGACCAGCATCCTGGATCAAGCGCCACTCAGCGACGGAACGCTCAGTGGGAGAGAGCCAACGGGTCGTTGTGGGCCAATCTGGGAGAATAACGCAAGTGCAGATGGCGACAAATATGGTGATGGAGCCTTCGATGATGAACAGCCATCGCCAAGACTCGAGACCGCGAGCACCTTCAAGACCACTTTGGATACCAGCGCCAATAAGACCGCTGAAGGCGCTTCCAAGCTGAGTAGCAGAGAATAGAATAGCGCTACGGAGACCCATCTCAGAGCGACGGTACCATGAGGAGATCAGGAACAGAGCGCCAGCTGAAAAAATAAGAGTTAGTCATCACTGAACCCGTCAGGAATGTAGGTCGTTACTTACGATAGAAGGCAGCCTCGACGAAACCAAGGAAGAAACGGCAGGCATAAAGGCCCGCAGCATTGTGAACCACTCCAGTCAAAGTAGAGAGCAGGCCCCAAGCAGCCATGCAAGCAGGCAGATAAAGCGAAGGGCGGAGCTGAGCCAAGAAGATGTTGGAGGGGATTTGCATGAGAACGTAACCGACGAACAGAATAGCCACTGCGGTAGCATACTGAGCGGCTGTCAGCTTAAGCGAATCTGCGAGACCAGCAACCTTTGCAGCTGCAATATTATTCTGTGATACGAGGGTAGTTAGTTTATTAGTGGTCTCACAGTCTATTGGTAAGTCGGCTTACTCTGTCCAGATAGTTGAGGACGAAGATGAGCCAAACACTGGCCAAGAGGCGCATGTCAAGCTTCCGCTTCAGTGCCTTCTCGGCAGCAAGAAACTCCTCTGAGCCCATTGCCTGTGCCAGAGCAAGGCGATTGCCCTCCTGGGCTGCCTTGAGCTCAACCATCTCGACGGCGCTACCCGGCTTGGCATCGGAGGATGCGTTCGCGTCCGCAGCCATCTTCAGCCTTGAACTGGATTAGAAACGAGGAACAGTGCACAGAAAGAATACAAGGGGAAAAGGGTGTCAGGAAAGAGCCTGATGGTTGTTGTGGTTGAACTCTTTGCTGATGCCAACCTCAACACTGAGCTGGAGGCAGGTGACCGCTTTTAAGTTTGCGCTGAGGTTGAAGCAAACAACTGGGGCTCCGAATCATCTCCTCGTGTCTATGAATTCAAGCTAAAGGACCGGCTTCCCACCGACTCATAACACTCTCCACCACCATCCTCCACGTCCCCCGCCCGGGGCAACCCCGCATACCTTGTTTTGATAATGGTTCTCCCCACAATGGCGTGGCCTTCGCAAGGGCTAGATTCCCAGTAGTGCAGCATCTAAACACATGATGCCAAGGCTCCGTGTTTGATTGAGCAATCTAAATGAAAATCTCTACCATTCATTCATAACTCTCATGGGCTAGGCCAATAGTCTCTTGGTCTCACCTGCCAGCTCCAGAACCGGCATTGGCCCGGGAGCAACATAAACTCGTCTTTGATCAGCTGATCCAAATAGATTTTCATTCAGCTTATGCACAATCGGGGCAAAGTCCTGCTTTACTAGCCCACCCGAGTTGTAACGTCGGTTCTCGACTTTGCGCTCATGAAGACCATTTCAATGGGTGAGCAAGCATCAAGCCCCTGTTCTTCCTACCAAAGACGCAAAACTGGCGGCCTGTGTTCAAAATCCCCCGCATCGGCATTAATCCGAAGTAGCATCTCTAAGAGAGACCGTAGGGTGGAATGTCCCATGGGGTTACCATCACATTGCCAATTCTTGAAGATTTGAGTTAACATTTGACTCAAAGATTGGGTTTGTAGCCAAATCAGACGATAATTACGTACTCCCAGTTTTCATTATCCCTGCTCATGGTCTTTTCTCTCTCACATAATGCATCTTGTTGTTTTGTTGCTTTCTGGTTGGCGGGTGTCGGATGTATCCGACACATTCTCTCTGGATGGTACAGGGGCATCCTCCCCTCATCTTCTTAGCAGAGGTAGTGTAGTCTATTTCCCCATGGGAACGCGAATCCTTTTCCCCAACCCCTACCATATTAGGATATTTCGTGAGGAGAAGCCAGCAGTGTAAAATGCATGAGCGGCTAAGTCGGCAGAATGGTGAATGAAACCATAATCCTAATTTGAAGTCCATGTCTAGCTGATAAAACGGTATAAATACTACGAGTACTCGGTCGCAACCATTGCTGAAGTCTTGCTCCGTGTCACCACTCACAGTTTTCTTGCCCCTATTTCCAACTTCCCCAGAAAACAAATCTATTTAAGCGGGTCAGCTGCCCATTATGATTCCCATTAAGAGCATTGTCCTTACGCTTTGGATCACAGCCACAATGGGCTCCAGGCTCCCCGCCGGTTCGTGGTATGTCACTCGGCCCCAGCTCCCCTTTCAAACTCTGAATCAATGCTGGCGTACCGCTTCCGCCACTGGTTACGCAGATCGAAGCTAACTGTTTGTAGGGATTCCCATATCCACGTTATTGATCCCGAAAGATTCCCTATGGATGAAGATCGAGGTCAGTGCTTTCCACGGCGGCATCTTGTCCGGGAGTTTCGGCCACCGGAAAAGGAAATTCCAAGCTAACATCTCTACTTTGATAGATTATACGCCCAAACCTGCGACTGTTGCCAACGCTACTGAGTTCCAGACTGCACGTGGTGTCAATCACGCGGTCATAGTCTTGCCCAGCGTCTACGGCACCAACAACTCTGTCCTCATCGATGCTCTACGTCAGTTCAAGGGCAAGTACCGCGGTGTTGCAGTTGTAGACCCCGACAGTGTAACGGAAGAGGAGCTCAATGAGCTGCATGAGGTTGGCGTCCGTGGTCTGCGTGTCAACTTGAACAACAATACCGACGAAGACATCATCGAGGAAGTCAAGAAGAATGCCGCCATCGCCAAAGCCCGCAACTGGGTCGTGCAGCTCTGGATCCCCATCAAGACATACGTGGGCCTGCACTCCATCATCCCTGATCTGGGGGTGGCATTCGTCGCTGATCACTTTGCCCACGCGGAGGTGGGTTCCAAGACCAACAAGACGGTCAACACCATTGACCCGTATAAGTCAGCTGGATTCCCAGAGGTGATAGACCTTGTCCAACGTAAGCTATTGTTTGTCAAGCTCTCTGCACCTTACCAGAATTCAAAGGCCGCGCCTTTGTATGAGGACATGCGCGTTGTGGCCGAGAGCCTGATCACAGCGGGACCAGACATGGTTGTCTACGGAAGTGACTGGCCTCATACTTCCAGCAAAGAAGGAAACGCGGCAGTGGGCGGACGTCTGAACCCACAGGAGTACAGAAACATCAATGATGCCGCCCTTGTTGAGATCGTCAAGGACTGGGCAGGCAGTGCAGCTCAAGTGCGCAGAATCTTCGTCGACAATCCACGGCGTCTATGGCAATGGTACTCCGAGGACTAGAATGATCCCCTAGGGACCACCCACTCCCTAGATGAGTGAGTATCAGGGGGCTCGGGGACCTAGAGATGCCAATCCGGAGAGACCTGATTTTGCTAGCCATTCTATGGAAAGAGTCAAGTTTAGATTGCAGAGATAGATAGCAATGCATTCATCAATAATGACCACAGCCTTTCAAAGTAATATTTGGTGATTTAAGATGTCAAACCTTTCTCGAGTCGCAATATAGTATCACGTCTCGCATTCGTCAATTTTCTACGCTCACACTACGTGGATCCGTTACTTGCGCTATTTTTCTGCATTATCAAGAAGTTTCGGGTAGAGGGCATGCAAAGCCAAGTGACATACAGACTCACCATGTGAAGGATCAAGGGTTTTGAGGCCTCCAGTATAGCACTTAGTCACGAGGGCCTGGAACCCGGCCAAAGTAGTTCGTCGTTAATCCTGTCGAGCTGGCCTGACGCTTACAGCCGAAACTGTTGGCATCTTGTTCCAACACCGGCAAATCCCGAGTGGAGCTCTGGCAATAATGAATGACGCGGAGGGGCCTTGAAGGGGACCGGACATAAGCCGATGAGTGCCACTCGAAGCGGACCCACGGCTTGTGAACCATGGAAGTGAAGCTGCTCATCTTGTTCTTAACAATTCCCCATTAGGTGGATAATGTAGGAAGCGGTCAGGCAGATTTATCTGGTGCTCTAACTTCACCGCATCGTTTTATCATCGCGGCTCTACGATAGCCACCACAGGAACAGAGAGTATGTAAAAGGGTACGTTACGAAAGAAAATCAAGTCTTATACATTTAGTGTTTAAATCTATCTATAATCTAATTTGTAGTCTCGGGCGTCTTTGGGGCCTCAGTGGGGGTTTGTAGGCCACTCAATTTTGAAAGCGCGGTAATTGGGCACATGTATTCATCCTCAGGGTCAACCTCGAAGTCAAAGCGGCACAAATCCTCCTTGTAAGGGAACATGTAGGTTTGAGTCACCCTGTAGAGTGACTGGTGAGTTGCGCGGTCGGCTTTCTCTCGAGGAAGGCAAACAGCTGGGTCATCTTACCATGTGTGCTCTTTGCTAGCTTGGTATTCGTCGAGAGCCGCACGGTTCTCGTGGTAACTGAGGAGAGCAAACTCGAAGCCCTTGCTCCGTTCAATAGGGTCGGTAACGGAAGGACCACCGACGATCAGGCGGTTGTCCTTGACACAAGGGAGGTGCTTCAGTTTCTTCAGCTCGCGTACGAATGTCTGCTTGTGTTCCTCGGACACATCGGCCCGGAACTTGAAGAAAACTGTAAATGACAAATCAGTCCTAGATTCCAGACATACAGTCATTCTTCCGCTTGATCGCATACCCATATGAATGAGAGTCATGGCTGTAGCTGGGAAATTGAAATGCTCGGATTGGAAATTCGTCGAAAACGATTGAACGTCAGCTTGTTGTTTCTTCCTCAGAATGATGGAATGGAAATACAAAAGGAGCACCGGTAATAAAGAACAATGAACGACCTACAACACTGACTAAACAGTCGGGGATTATCAACTTTCCCATCGAGATTGGCCAAGAGACCGCTAAGGGGGTTACTAACCGATGGTCCCCGAGATCCCGAACGTCTGAGGAGGGGCGAGGCTAGGGAATCGGCGCTGAGCCGATCTTCAGCCACTTCTCCGCAATTACCGAAAGCCCGAGGACATGTTAGGAAACAATTCACGGGCTCTTCTTACGAATTGGGAGCCGCATATGCTCCGGAGTCGGTGGATTTCTGAGTCCAAGTGGTACCACTAACAGAAAATGTCATCATGGTATATTCCGGGCCTGTTCATTCGGTTTTCTCAGACATTATCGGATGGGATGCTTTGAAGTGGGCATATCTCAGGTATATAGTCAAATCCATCGCGGGGCCATTCTAAACGCCCCCAATCCTGGTCCCTCCACGCCACAGATCTAGAGAAACATAGCCTCCTTTTTGGAAATCACCAGTGCCCATCATGTCAGGAGACAGTAGATCTCTAGCTCAGAAGACTCGCAGCTTTGTTACCGATGGTGCTACAACGCTTCATAGAGGTCTTCAAGGGCTTCTAAATCTTCATCCTTCTTTACGCCTTAATGAAAAGTACAAGAGCAAGTAAAATATTCGCTACTCATGAAAAGATCAACAAACTAATTGACTCATTTGACATAGTTGTGTATCGAGATGCTCCCGATAAGCAGCAGCGAGTGACCATTCTGAGCGGAGGTGTGCTACCGATTCTTCTTTGCAAATCTTGCATGAGATGTTTTAGATCTAACTTTGACGCGTTCTAGGTGGTTCTGGCCATGAGCCTGCACATGCCGGCTTTGTCGGAACCAATATGCTTGATGCCGCTGTCTGTGGTTCTATCTTTGCCTCACCAAACTCAGCCCAGATTGAGTCTGGTCTCAGACACATTCAATCTCCCAAGGGGACACTCATCATCGTGAAAAATTACACTGGTGATAAGCTCAACTTCACGTTAGCAGCCGATCGTTTTCGCCTGGCTACGGCTCAGCCCATCCGTCTCCTCGTCGTAGCGGACGATGTGTCCATAGGCCGAAGTAAGTCAGCGTTGGTCGGCCGACGTGGTCTTTCAGGCACCACCCTCATCCACAAGATCTCAGGTGCTGCTGCATCAGATGGAGTAGACTTGGATGGAATCGTGGAAATTGCCGAGTTTGCCATGGATAATATGGGAACCATTGGAGTAGGGTTGGATGGCTGTCAAATCCCAGGCCAAGCACCAAACGAATCCCGTTTGGCTAACGACGAGATTGAAATCGGTATCGGTATTCACAACGAACCTGGAAGTAGGCGCATTAGCCCTCGTCCTAGTCTTGAAGATCTTGTCAAAGGTCTGCTTTCAAACCTGCTGGACGATGATCCAGAGCGCAACTACATTGCCACGCCTCCGAAGGTGGACCTGACAGACATCGTGGTCCAGATCAACAACCTTGGAAGTCTGTCAGCTCTGGAAATGCTAGCTATCACGAATGAGACAACCTCTCAGCTCCATGCCACGTACGGACTCAAGCCTGTTCGAGTGTACTGTGGTACATTCTTATCAGCATTGAACTGCCCTGGTTTCAGCATCACTCTCTTGAACTTGCCCAAGACGAGCAAGCATTCGTCCACCATTGTCAAGTATCTTGATGAGACAACTGATGCTGTTGGCTGGCCAAGTCATTTAGCGAAGGCAGCTTGGGAATCTCCGGTTTCTACGTCCCAGAGCGACGCGTCCAGAAAGGATGAGAAGCCTACCCGAGATACTCCTAGTGTCCCTTGTCTGTTCATTTCTCTGCTCCAAACTCCAGTAGCCGAAGGGTAACTAACAGTTTTTTCAGGTGACAAATCTCTGTTTGAGTCTATCTTGAAGTCCATTCACGGATCTCTTGTTTCTGCAGAGCCTGAAATCACCCGCAACGACACCATACTTGGCGACGGTGATTGCGGCACAACCCTTGTTGATGGTGCCACCTCCATCATCAAAGCCCTTGAAGACAGCACAATCAACACATCAAGTCTCTCTCATGGCATGCTCGAAATTGCCGATTTACTGTCGCTCAGCATGGGTGGCACATCAGGCGCCCTCTATGCCGTTTTCATGACCGCCTTCGCGTCCAACATTGCGCTCCAATCTGGCTCCGAGGATGCCAGCTTAAGCACTATCTCCGCCGGCCTCTCACACGGCCTGCGGAGCCTAGAACAGGTCACGGCTGCTCGAAGCGGCGATCGAACCATGATGGATGCCCTTATTCCTTTTATCTACAAGTTTGCTGAGTTGGCTGCCAAGAATGAGTCTGTAATAGAAGCGTTCGAGGGCGCACGCCTAGCGGCTCAGGTAGGAGCTGAGAACACAAAGACACTTCAAAGCAAGTTTGGGCGTAGCACTTATGTTGGGGCAGAGGATGGGGCAGATTCCACAGCAGGCATTCCGGACCCTGGGGCAACCGGTGTCGTAGCCATACTGAATGGTGTGAAGCAGGCATTGGTGAAAGCTTACAAGTGAGGCTGGCATAGAAGTAACTTAGCAAATAACATCGGATTCTAGATAGTCGAAGAAAAAAATTCATAGAGATGAAGAGTTGAATGTTCAACTACCAGAATTTTACACTCTAACTAACCATTCCCTGGTTGTAGAGGACTAAGTGGTGACCGCACCATCTATGCTTATCAGCAGAAACCCTCATATGGCGCTTGGGGCTTTATTTGACGAAAGACGAGGTGTTCAGCCGTATCACGGTCTAAAGGGGAGATCACTCACAGCATCAATTCGTGCTTTCCTTCCTGCCATCCCCACCAAGCCCCCAGCAAGTGCAAACATAACTGTATTGTGATGAATTTTTACTTCTTTTATCCAGATTGAATCTTTCTCTAGCTACTGAGCTTCGAACGTCAGTTTGGCCTGATACTAGTTTAGCTAGCATATAGGGTAGACAAAATGCACTTCGTACACTAACAGAACAGAAATTGCTCAAGACATAAGACAGGTAGGTCAAAAATTTCAAGAGGTGAGCGTGTGGCAAATTTATTCGGTGTGCATCTTGTTTGATCACGCGGTAACTACCGATGATTACCTAGATGCCCGTCGAACTTCTGTTCTTGGTCAGTTTACGGCACGGCTGCTGACAGAATAGAAGCGACGGGTAGATAATAGCTTGAATCCTGGCCTGTCAGCTGGTTCGGTATTTGTCGTTGCCTTGCCGGTCGGCAGCGTGATCCTTGACTGCAATTTGAGAAATGCCTTGGACAGCCCCATGTTTTTGAAAAAGGGATGGGACGAGTCGCCAAAATAACCACGTTGTGGATAAGCTTGGTCCTGACCCAACCCATAATCTTACCAGCACGGGCCCGGCTTTAATCATAGTTTGTCCAGCTGGGCTCATATATTCCCTATTGGGTAAAAGCGTCGACATATATAGCAGAGTTGCCACAATCAAAGTGGATACAGTAAGCAGACACGCACGCCTATCCCCAGCCATGGAAGAATGGCCATCCGCCCTTATGAGTGAGTCCAGGTTCTGGAAATCGGGTCTCCCGGCAGTAGTGTAATCTCTCATGCAAGTCAGAATTAATACCGGTTGGCTTGGGGCGTTATTAAATAAACTTTCGTTCCTCCTTTCTACTTAGAGGCACGCCACGTTGGGGTATTGCCGACTTGATCAGCGATCAACATTGTGGCCGATCATGAACTGTCCTACTCGGTCCTGGATGCTAGCCAGCCTGGCACTGTCAGCCTTCTCACAAGTTGGCCCTGCCAGTGCGGCACCCAACTATGAGGCTCTACCGGTCAGCTATCGGGATGTCTCTGGAGACTGGGACAACGTTAAACGTGCCGACCTGGTTCCCTTGCGGATTCTACCCCTTGGTGCCTCCATCATGACTGGTGTAGGCTCATCAACGGGTGATGGGTATGTAGTTTCCGACGTCGGTAGTCTTTGTACTGATGCTGACTGTCCCAAAGCCATCGAAAACCCTTGCGAGATGCACTTCGACAGGATGGCTATGAAGTGAACATGGTTGGTAGCCGAGCTTCTGGCCAAATGAAGGATCAAGTAAGTTTACTTACGCATCATGAGATGTTTGAGATACTAACATTATCCGATTAATTTAGAATCACGAGGGAAAGCCTGGAGATATCCTTACACAAATCCAAGACAGAGTGGCAAACTCAATTGGATACAAGGTTAGTTTATCAAGAGACAGGAGCCTACCACTGAGAATGGAACCGAACATAAGGACGCCATCTAACTTTGGAGGCAGCCTAATATTGTCATCATCAATGGAGGGACCAACGACGGCAACGGCGATCTAGATATTTCCAATGTTGGCGACCGAATGAACAACATTCTCAACGCACTTTGGAATGCAGCCGATATGAGCGACACGTGCATCATGCTCTCGACCCTTATCCCAACAACCAATGCCAATGGTGCCAAGAACCGTGCTGCAATCAACAGCCAATATCGCTCGCTTGTCACCACACGAAGCAATGAGGGGAAGTGTATCTACCTCGCCGACATGGACCTTGCCAACGAGAAGGTTTGGTTCGATTTTAATACGGATTATTCGGCAGGAGAGTCACCAGCTGTCCACCCCAATGTCAGTAATTTCCAAAGCCCTAGACAAGAACTAGATCTCTGACGCTGTACATATAGGACAAGGGACACAGGAAAATGGCTGCTGCGTTCTATCAGGCTATCCACAAGGCGCTAGATGACAACCGCGTCAAGGCCGCACCCGACTTCGATGCCGGCGTTGGCAAGACTGGGTGTGACAAATTCGCAGGCAACGGTGTTGATGCCGGTGGCCTCACCCAGCGTGGTTCAGGCTATGATGACGGCATCTATTACCACAACAGTGATGACATGGGTGTAAGTTCAAGTTCTGGGCACTCGCAGTTGCTTCTCCCTTCTCACTGACATTATCCAGATTCTGTGGAGTGCAGAAAGCGATTGGGATAGAGGCCAGTGGAAGTTTGCACGCCTGTTTGATACCAAATATGATGACCTCCTGGCATGGCTTAGCACCGGCGATAATTCGCAAGAATACGTTGTATGGTATGTTCCCTTTCCGATTTCCGAAGGAGTTTGATTCGACTCTTCTCGAAGACAATCAAGCATGCGCTAACCAGAACACAAAGGGCCAATTCCGGTGACGGCAAGGCTGGTTTCAAACAAATTAATAACCTGACACCCGACTTAAACTGCAAAAGTGCCACGGGTGTCAACTTTATTGATATGAACGGCGACGGCCTTGATGATCTTGTCTATATCGATGACGATGGCAATGCTTACTTATCCATCAACCAAGGAGATGGCGATAGGGCGGCCGGAAAGGCACCTACTTTCAAGCGTGTTAGTGACACAGCGAAAATCAAGACCACTGAAGGCTATGGACGAGAGAAAGTGCGCCTCGCAGACATTGATGGGGATGGCCGAGGCGACTATGGTGTCTGGGATGGCAGCAGCTGGAAGTTCTGGAGAAACGGCGGAGTTGGCAATATCCCCGAGTATTGGCAAGCTCTTGGTGCCAGACGCAAAGACCAAGGTTACGGAAGCTATGAGGGGTACACCTTTGAGGATGTCAACGGCGATGTAAGCTCCTAGGATTCAATGGGGATGGAGCGAAACTAACATGGGAACTAGGGTCGCGACGATTCCATCTGGCTTGACTCCGTCGGAGCGGGCTATATGCAGACTAATGGTCGAAGCTGTGCAACTGGTTCCGAGGGTGATGGCCTCAACGTTGCGTGGCGCGATGGCTACTTTACGGGCGCATCATCTGGTATGGTCTACAAGGGCATGGGCAGCTTCGTTACCGATTTAGAGAAGACACTGCGTAACCGGATTCATTTTGGTCGCATCTATGGACAGTCTTCGGTCTTCGGTAACTTGCCAAAGCAAGACTACATCTTTATGCAGCACGAGGCGCTTTCAACTGGCAAGCATCGGTTCCAGATGCGTGTTTGGAAGAATACTGGCTCTGGCGGTACCAAGCTTCTTGCCGACGGAAACAAGTACTGCAACATGATGGGCCACTCCAACGGAATGCAGGACTATGTGTGGGCCTATGCGGGAGGGACGATGGAGATGTGGGCAAACCGCGGCAAGACATCGATATCCGATTCGGACACTGATGGCTTCTGGGAGTCCAAGGGCACGATCTGGACCCCGCCAAGCGAGATGAACCGCCGTGATCTGCACTTGCAGGACTGGGACGGAGACGGAGATTGCGACATCATCTATGCTGACCCTGAAAGCGGCAAGGTGCAAGTCTGGATTAACAACTTCCCCAGTACCGGGAAGTGGGACTGGACTCATCTATCAAGCCCAGCTCCAAGTCTGAGTTGCTCCCAGAAGCGAGGCTTTGGTATTCATGACTGTAGGTTGAGCCTCTGTCCCATAATCTCCACCACTATCTTGATGTTTAGGAGCTGATTTGATATAGTGGCTGTCCGTTTCGCCGATCTTACCGGAAACAAGAGGGCTGATTATCTCTGCATTGAGCCTAACAGCAGAGTCACTGGCTTCGTCCAGAATGACGAGGGCAGCTTTGAAGATGCCGGCCAGATTAAGGTGTCAATCAGCAAAGATCGTGCTAACCTTCGCTGGGCTGACGTGAATGGTGATGGCAAGGACGATCTTCTCTGGGTTGAGAAATTCTCGGGGGATGCCTACGTTTGGTAAGCGCTTACTCCTGCCGTTAAAGCCTGTAGCTCAATTTACTGATCATGAGATAGGTACAACGAGGGTAGAGGCAAATCTGAGGATCTTCTCGGCTCTACGTTCTCTTGGAGGCAGCAGACCGAAGTTGCATACAAAGGAAACGCAGCGGGTACGTGCGAGTACTGGCCTGACCTCGATGGCAACGGCCGAGCAGATGAGCACTATATCACGGGTACCTTTGACAACAAGGCGCGAACGTCGTTCAACCCATCCTGCGGATTGACAGACTTTACAGGAGACGATGCCACCTTCGCTGAAAAGTTAACAGAAGAGCTCGCCGAGTATAATGCGTAATTCAATTTAGGGCATCAGAGGGCATCTCTTGCTGCGAAAGGTGTGAGGTTATCCGGGTTACCGGGCTAGGCAGAGCTGCATCTCCGCTCCTTACTGAACCGATACTAATAATTTCAAGTATGTATACTGGTGTGGCGCGCAAGATTCTGATGAATATACATAACATATAAAGCTTTTCTGATTATAAGTCTCTTGAGAACATAATTTTAGCACTTTTCTTTCTTTACATATTAGAGCTGGGCCTGCTTAACCAAGTCTGAAATGACCTATATAAAAGAAGTCTGTCTCAAATCTCGCTTGGCGGTGAATATTTAATCCTCCTCTTATTCCTATTTCACCTTGTCTAGTTCAACTGCCAGCGTGGTCAAAGAATCCCAGAGCAATTTTGGTCTCGCACGGGCCAAAATATTGAGCATTGCCATTGGTACGGCATTGCTTCTTATACCTGGCTCTTGATTCTAAACGTGAGACCTTGATATGCTACCACGGCAGTTATTTCTCAAAACTTCACCACCTAGGACTTGCCAATGGCGCTGCTTTCGACAACTACCTCGTGGCAGAATCTGTATCAGATCGCTTAGTCTTGAAAACGCCAGAGTCCTCATTAAATTAAAAAAAAAAAAAAACTTCATGGGCGAGGATATTAAAATGAGAACACAAACATTATTTTCCTAGCTGACCATGGAAATCGAGCGGGCCTCCGCCCACCAAGCCCACACCCAGACATAGATTGCATGGCCCACGAAGGCTGTAAAGCCGCAGTACTGATACTCATTGACTTAATGCAGGATGGAGATTCCCCCCTGCTAATGGCCCACATTGGGTTGATTGCTTGTGAAAAGAAAGCATAGTGTCTCTCTTGGTCGCCATCGTGAGCCCAGACCGTGTCTTACAAGACTAGTGCCACTAGTTCTTTCAGCTAATAATGCCGTCGTTCAGGGGTTAATTATTGTTTATTATCAGAGACAAGTCCGACTGCAGGTAAAATCTAAGAGCAAACGACAGACTGGAAGAAATCTCTGTCACGACCCCGCGCGTGTGCTGCCAGAGCATCTCGTCAGCATCATGATACCAACGCGCCTTCTCGTTGCTCTAGCCAGTCTCCTCCCACTGGCTGTAGCTGAATGCTCCAAGCCATGCATGAGCCGATGTGCCAGGGCTTTGCTTGACCCTGTTGGCAGTAGCTTGCAGAAAGAGTCCTGTCTCGCATTCCTACAACAGGGTAAAGACGCCACAGTTCCTGTTGAATTGAATGAGGTGTGCCGTTCCAAAAAGGCCTATTCTCGCGCCTGCTCGTGCATTGGAGTGTCGCCGACCGTGTCGCCATCCTCATCCGCCACGGCACATACACCATCGATGACCCAGTCCAGTACCCCAGATTCCTCGGCTCCGCCAAGTTCTTCCAACACACCGATCTCTTCGACTGCTCTAGCCACCTCGGGTACTCCTGTTTCTGCAGCTACATCAGTATCCACAGCTACTCCAGAGTCCTCAGTTACTCCAGAAACCTCAGCTACTCCAGAATCCTCAATTACTCCAGAGTCTTCGACTGCAGCAATCTCTTCAACCACCCCGGCCTCCACCACTATTCCAGAGCCTACCCCGCCAGCCTCGTCTACTACCCCAATCTCTTCAACTACCCCAGACTCCTCTACTGTTCCCATTTCTTCAACCTCGTCGAGCGCAGCCCCCGCCCAGACCGAATTCTTCGATATAACCGTTTATGTTCAGGGTGATCCTACACCGCATAACACCGGGTTCCGGGCGATAACCAACGGTTTTGCGCTTAGCTGGAACTATGTTCCTACGGTGCCTGGGAAAATGGGTATTGATCCAGAGACCGGGCGTCTTTACGCTTTGCTCGACGGCAGGACCGACAAGCTATGGGGCTCTACCAGTCTACCTTTGAAGGGATCTCTTCTTCTTAGCTTCTGGACCCCTGCCCAGATTGCAGCGTACGAGGGTTCGATCGTTTATGTGAAATGCGCCCGTGATGCAGATGGCTACGTGACCTGCGGCTACGAGGACCAGGACCTGGCCAGGCTTAAGCCTAGTCAGAATCAGAATGTCGTGCTGGGGAAGCACGCCAACGCAGCATCTACCGCGATCAGCATGCTCGAATACCCAGTCCCTGCTGGCTACCCTACAGTCACGCTATTGCTCAAATAAATGGGATGCGAGCCTTGTTTCCAAGAATTGTGTTACATGATAGAATGAACCATTGATCATAGTCACTAATACATCTAATTATTGTTTTGATATAAACCGAGAGAATCATTTGAACAACCTGAAATTCTTTGCCAGAGGTGAAATCAATCTGAATAATAACGCACAAACTCCAAGATTTAAGTAGACTCACTTTGGGACTCCATCTTATAATCCGCATTGTAACTTATTTGCTCCAAAATATTTCAACGCTATCTACTACCGGAGTTAGCAACTATCAATCAAAGCCCTCCTTGATCCATCAATATTTGCAATTCCCGTATGCTATCTTCAACCGCTGGAACCTTCGCTTTGATAATCATTTGCCCCGATGAAACACTAGATGATGAGGTAATCTACTCTAGCCAATTAGAGGCGATTTTCAATACGAAATGAGGTTAGCTCAAATCCTGGAGTCAGAAGATGCACCAATTAGAACGTGTTGTATCCACAAAATATTGTGGATACCACCAGTCAGCTTTGTCTTGGCATTTCCTCTGGGTCAATTATGATTCTCCCGTCATCAACATCCATTCAACAATCCGCCAGCTCCAGCCTCCAGCGCACGGCGGAAGATATCAAAGCTGCACATAGCCTGCGCATCTGCGTATTTGCATTGACGGAAGTAGGTCCCCACGTTAAGTTTCACATCATGGCTTCAACCATGACAGATGCCATTGTCCCTCGACGTCACCGCAAGGCCCATCGGAAGTCTCGCCTCGGATGTAAAAACTGCAAGCTTCGAAGTGTCAAGGTATGGGACTTAGATATTTGCCCTGTCAATTTTGTCAATTTTAGATATTTGATCGCTTCCTATCCTATTCCGCTGTGCTGGTTGGACTGACCATGTCCAAGTGCGACGAATCCAAGCCCGCCTGTAAACGTTGCCAGGCATCCGGGTTTTGCTGTGACTTCTCTAGCCAAGGACCCATGCTGCAACTCCAGCATGCGGGAGTCTACAAGTTTGATCTTAGCCTGAGCTCACAGGGTCCGAGTCCCCGGTATTCGATCCCCATCGTTCTTCCTTGCTCCGCCGCTTTTGGCGAGTATGAGTTGAGGGCCGAGGACTTTGCCGCCCTGGACCGATATCGCAACCGAACTCTCAACCATATCGGGACAAAGGAGTCTCGGCCACTATTTAGTGACGAAAATGGTGGCATTGGGGTTTCGGTACGTATTCCCGTTGTTTATTTAGGACTAGACATTTGCGTATGTACCCATAACACGCTTCACGATGCTAACTTTCTTAGCATCCATTTCTTCTTCACATGTTCATTGCGCTTGCCTTCATTCACGACTCCTGCTCCCCATCCCCCTTTCCCTCAACAGAACAAGCATTGATGTCATTCCACTGGTACCAGGCCTCAGCAATATTCAGAAGGATGCTCTCCCAAGGTCGATTTGGTGTGACTGTTGTCGAACATGACGCGCTCTGGGCCACATCCGTGCTTCTTGGAGCTGCTTCGTTCGCGTATCTCGGTACTCACGATCCCAAAAAGACTTGGCCGTTCCGAGATCCGGATCCGTCCGATCTGAGCTGGATCAAGATGGGTGACGGGAAGAAAGCCGTCGGAGAAACCATCGGGCCAGTTCAAGAGGGCACTGCCTTCCAGAAGTACAGAACAAACATACTCACAGATTCACTTCCGAAGGGGGATGCTCCAATACCTTTGGGTGCTTTCCCACAATGCTTCTATACTCTTTTCGACCAGTTCGCTTCAACGGACTCCGAGGTTGATGTCTATTATCGACCGGCCTCAATCCTTGCGCAGATTCTCCCCCACCCATTTATTCCGGGTAAGCTTGGCCGCTTCATTTCCTTCACTATCGGCATGGAAGATGGCTACAAAGACCTCCTTGCGCAAAAGGACCCTCGAGCCCTTCTTCTTCTCGTTTGGTACTACGCAAAACTGGTCGAGTGTAAGATATGGTGGATGCGTCAACGAGCCATCATAGAAGGGATGTCGATCTGCCTGTACCTAGAGTCCAAGCATGCGCATGAATTGATTCTTGAAGCTTTGGTATGGCCAAGAATGGTACTCTCGTCCGCCTACCAGCATAGTCTCGATACCAATGGGGGGTTGAACGAGAAGCCTCAACCTGATAAGCAGATATCCGAAAAGGATATTCAGAAGGAAAATGAGAAGGAAATTGCGTTGGAAGTTTGAGGAGCCTTATCTGACACTACTTTTCGAACTTGGTAACTCATTTTGTATCCTACCAGCTGTAAATATTGCATAGAAAGAATACGTTTCAACAACATTAGGAAGTAGATGATGCCCATATCTGGGAAGCTCCTGTAAGACCCCGGGCTTTCTTCTACTTGAAAGTGCAAATACAAGAAATATGGCCACTTGGGATCTTTGCGTGATTAAAATATTTGGTTTGAGATGGCAGTATTCAGGTAGACTCTGTATCTTCTGATTGACTTGTAAACCCTTTCGATGACATCGTTTCACCTCTTTGGTTTTCGCTTTTCTCTCGGTGCTATTTCGCTAATCTCCTTGATGTGATCAGCTGCCAGTGATTTTGCCGTGATATAAGCTGCTTCCAAAACTTCGACATCCCCTGGCCCTTTGCCATGTAAATTGCGTGTTGACTTTGGTCGTGGGGATGAGCCTTGAAGCTCTTGCGGATGGTATGTCGAGCCTGGCATTTCGTGTGGCAGCGCTGAACCGGGTAGCTCGTAAATGTGGAAGAGGCGGCGTAGGCTGGAAGGCGATCTCCGGATGGGCTTCAGGGCGGATTTCAAAGGTAAACGGGTCTTGCTAGGAGGTTTGTGTTTCCCCCCCTCGGAATCATACATGTCGGGCTCTTCAACCTTTCGGGACCTGAGGTAAAGCCATAGAAGAAGACCTAGTGCCACAAGCACGGCAAACCCAAGAGCGGGACCAATAACCCACGTCACTAACAGCTGGTAAGACAAGATTCTGCTCCCATCAATTTAAATAGAGTTAAGAAATTCGCTAATACGTACGGGTAGAATTGGAGTTTCCAACCTTTGCCTGGGGAGTTTCTGTTACTTGAGGTATCGTCGGTGTTATACTTGGAAGCCAATTTTCAGATGATGCAGTATTCAATGCCGTAGGAATTTGGCTCGCGACAACAGTTGTTGGCGGGATGCCTGTGATCGGTGCTGTCGGCTCTGTAGGTAGATTCGCAATGTAGTAGTAAAAGATTGTCGAGAAGAAAACGTTATTACCAGATGTCGGCACCATTGTGATGCCGGAGATGGTTTTATTGTACTGGAATCCCATTTCGCAATATGAAAGCACAGGGGATAGGCTGTCCGGCATATATGGAGTAGGTTGTGGTTCTATGTTCGTGGCACATTGGGCACAGGATGCATAGGCCTGGAGGAACTTGGATCCGGACTTGCAGGTATCAGCTGGCGAACTGAAGAATTCCACTTGCTGTACTGCATTGCCTATATCATCAATCTTTTAGTTAAAAAAACCATCCATCGATTCTTGGGGCTTCCGGGTGGTTTCATACTGCACACGTTAAGACATGCCGTGCCGGACATGGTGATGACTGCCACGGGTGGGAGATTTAAGCACTGGTCAGTCAAGTAAATGACAAAAAGTGAGCGATGGACATGGCGCGATCTCTTCCTTACCAAGGCCCTTTATTGATCAGGCCAGAGTAAACCCCAAAGGAGGCCAATGTTCGCCTCATGCGCCGTGATGGGGACCAAACCCAATATCCCGATCCTTTCGTGTTTCATATCAGCATAAAGGCAAGGCAGCTCCGTCATCCACCAATCAGAGAACCGAGGATGTGTGATTGATCAAATGCTAAATGCACCTAGCCACAGCCAATACTACGCTTAGAGGTACTCGGGTAATCAATCATGTTCTACTGAAAGCACTCGATGTCCTCTCGCCCTTCGCCCTCGAGAAATGATTTACATTTGCATAAATCAAGTCAATAGCACCAAAATAAACGGCCTTTTATCTGTGTAAAATCCAACTCAATTTGTGGCACGGGACGGAAGTACAAAAGATTACTGGAAAAGAACTTTGACGGGTGTCAGACTGCAACCTATGGTTGGGGGTAGCACTCGATGCATCACACACTCCTACCAAGCACTCGTCACCACTGAAAAGCATCCGATTGCTCCTTCATCAGTGAGGCAATTTCTGGCTGGCCTAGCATAGCCTTGCTGGCATACAGCTCAAACATGTACGGTAGGTTTCCTTCCGGCAAGCGTTTGATAACTAGTAGGACTCGTTGAAAATTCGAAATAGCTGGTGGCCGGACTCCCTGCTGCACGATCTGCATTTCAGCTCTTACAGCGATCTGCTGCTGTGTATCTAAATACCTCGTATTCCATTTAAAATTGGTGATGCCAAGTTGCTACGCCACCTTCGTGCTTCTAAGACATGAGCGGCCAGCCAGTGATACTTTCTTTGATCTTTGTAAATTTCCTAGATCGCCATATTTCCCTGTCACAGAAAAGAGCCTAATCAGCTCTTTCACAATATGTATAGGGCTGCGCAGGGCATAGATCAATTAACTAGCCAAGCATAAAATTGGCCGACAACTGTCATAATTTTAGGAGCCTCAAATATTATTCCACTTTCTCCGGGTACTTTCTATGTATTCGGAAGAGGCAAGACTTTTGTGGCATTCCTTTAGATAGGGATGGATGGAGGTGCATTCACCCATGTCGCTTCGATAAACTCGATCCCCTCTTTTAGTTCTCAGTGCCTTGAACGTTTTTAACAAGGGTAAATACCTGAAAACTTAGGAATTAACATCCTTTGATAAAGCGTGGAGAGGGGGGGCTTCGCACCTTGTTGAAAAAGGAAAATCATTCATTCTCTCCGTTTCTTCTTGTGTCACTCAATGATCCAGCATTCGCTAATCAATTGTTCTGGCCTCATCCCTTGGGACCTCCTCACCGGTGGAACATTTGTCCGAAGTTCTGAGACTTTCTTCCCCAGTGCCAGCTTATATCAATTAATCTTCATCCATCTTGTCATGTATCCGCCCATTCAAGCCATCATCATTATGTCTGATACCGCTTCGTGCCCCAAAAGACAAGCCTCCCCTCCGATCTCCGGAACATATTTAAAATTGCGTAGATCCCCTTCGCCCCCCTAGTGAATGGTGTCCCTCTACATGTTCAAGAAGAGTACGACCAATTCTTTGCTCAAAAATCACTGCCCTTTAGCGATGATGAGCCGCTCATAGGCAACCCTGACTGCTCATGGAAAAGCGTCCAGAAACATGTGCTTAGGGCATGTCCCTTTAAACTCGAGGACATGATTTTCGAAGAACGGCTTGGTGATGGGATAGATGGTGTTGTGTTCAAGGTGAGCATCAACAGTGCTCCCTACGCACTTGAAGTGGTACGTCCCTCTCCTCCCTCGCTCTCCGAAAAAAGATGTCCTACCCTACTTAATGCATCAAAAAGGCTAACGGAAATCTGTTGTTAGTTTTGGGACGTTGAGATACCAGGGGAGCGCACCTACTATGCCATCCAAAAAGAATGCTGGAATTCTGCGCTGTTGCAGATGATAGGTGCTGCTATCGCGCAATCAGAGGAGCCCATCTACCTGAAGCCCAAGATTGAGAGTCGCAAGGATGCTCTGTACAATACCCAAGCCTTTTGCAATGAAGCCCGCCAGAAGCCCCGGTTCAAGAAGCTCCCTGGCGCTGTGCCCATCACCTCTTTTCCACGATTTCGAAAATGCTTTGGCTGGCTCAAAGCAAACAGTACTAGACTTTTCGAAGATGGCCGAATGGGCCCTCCTTACGCTCGTGTTGGCCGTGATCGCCGTGCTATAACTAGAGACGTCGAGTACTACGCTATATTATATGAGTATATCCCGCCGGGCGAGCAGCACGTGGACATGGAAGGATTGCAGGCCCAAATGGACTTACTCTATCTCGTAGGCTTTGATATATGCGATCTCAAGCCTGAAAACTGGATTGGGGGGATCCTGGCTGATATGGCTGCTCTCGAGAGCCCATGGGAGATGCATTGGTCCCATCGTGCACACAAGCATTATGACGTGAACCGTATTAGCTTTCTATCTCAAAGCGTTTGATATTTATGGATTTCATCTACATGAGATGTTCGTATCAACTTTATTCCCAGTTTCTACTTCTTTCCATAAGCAGGCAAGCATTTAGATAATAGGTAATATAATCTACAAGTAAGCTGATTATATAAGTAAGCTGATTACTTCTATTCAGAAATTAGAACTTCCTCTTTATAATTAAATAACTTTCTACTATAAAATAAATATAACTTTATATAAAGTAAATATTATTCTTATAATCTAAACTCTTAATTAAAATCTGAAATTAAATATTAAAATAATAGTAAAAGTCTATTAAGTTCTATATATAACTCTTTATAATTAATATACTAATTATATAGTAAAATATAATACTTAATTAAAATTAATAAATCTATTAAAATCTAAAGAGAAAACTATTATTTTATATATATTTAAGCTATTTATATATATATTTCCTCTTAGAATATATAATATTAAGGAAATAGCTAATATTCTATTATATATATATAATATACTCTCTATTAGTATTAATTAGATTTCTAACTTTATTAAATAGTAATTAGAGCTTTATATATACTAGGTTTAGAAATATAACTATTAGAGAGCTAAATATAAAGATCTAAAAATTATTATATCTTAGTTTAATTTTATATATAATCTAAAGATAAAATATAGTATTCTAAATAAGGATCTATATAACTTTAATAAAATTAGTTTTATAATAAATATTATTTTCTCTAGAATAGTAATTATAATCTTAGAGAGTTATATAAAAACTAAGCTAGTTCAGTTTAGTAATTAGAAATAAATAATTATAATCTAAGAAATAAATATAATTAGTTAAGCTATTTCTTTTTTTATTATTCTAGCTATCTAATATTATCTTAAGAATTAGTATTAGAAATATAATCTACTATATAACTAATAGTTTATAATAATTAAAAATAACTAGATTATTAATAAAATTAGTTTAAATTAGATTAAGTACTTTAACTTTTATATAGTTCTTTATATAAAGAAAATATATTAGATATTAATTCTTAATAGTTATAAGAGCTATTATTTAGTTAACTTTAAAATTTACTATTAAGAGTAAAAGATTATTATAATCTATATATTTTCTTATTCCTCCTATCTTCTTTAGCTACTAGATATTAGCTATTTTAAACTATTTAAATAATTATATAGATAAGAGATTAAGAATCTAATATAGATATATATTACTTATATTAATAAGTTTAAATTTCTTTCTATTTTTTATATAGTTTTCTTCTACTTCTTTATAAAGAAGAATATTTAGATAGATTTTATTAGATCTAGTTTAATATTATATAATCTAAAGAGAATTCTTTTAAAGCTAGATATAGTACTATAAATACTAATACTATTAGAGATTCTATTTAAAATAAAATAGTTCTAAATTCTAAAAATACTATAGACTATATATAAGATAAATATATAATCTAAATATATTAAATTTTAAATTTTAATTTATTAAAATAACTCTTTAATCTCTATACTAATTATAATAGATTAATTTATAAAGAAAATAATTATAATAATATACTAAATAGCTTTTTTATATATTAAGATCTATAATCTTTATATAGTAAATAAGATATTAAGTAAGTATTAAAAAGCTAAAAAAAACTATATATAGTTTAGAGAGTTTCTAACTATATAGAATAAAATAGATCTATTAGACTAGAAGGATATAGATAAATAGCTAAGAGAGGAAAACTATAGAAGTAGTAATTAGAGAGGGTAAACTTATATAAAGACTCTATAATATAATAATTATAGAAAGTCTAGTTATAATATCTAAATCTATAGGAAGACTAGAGAGAAGTCTAATAAATTAATTTCTAGTATTATTATTATAGATAATTAGCTATTATTATTTTAATTAACTTTATTATATAAGGGATAGGTAGAAGTAATCAGCTTACTTATATAATCAGCTTACTTGTAGATTATATTATATATTACTTTTACAACTACTGGGGGCCAATATTTGAACGCACTGTGACCAGTCACAACCGGTCCAATAGGATTCGATGTTTTCTTGTAATCGTTCAGGATTATAATTTTTGACCGATGTGATTAGCGTTAGCCTCGAAGGGAAAATTGACACAATACTTAAGAAGATGAGGGGCGGCATTATCTGGATATCCGGGATAGGGAAGTGTTTTACAGGGTTGTCAAATACCAGGCAGGATTTCCCGGGATTCTAAGCCACCAATGTGGGTAACCGAAAGCGAGCATCCAAGAACATCAGCTTCCGCCATCACCCTCATCTCAGTATGCTAGCACCGGGTACCGGACCCTAAAGTGTAGATCTAAGCCGTAGTCGAAGGTATGTAGTGGAAGCATAGCCACATTATCTTACGACTTTGATCCCTGACCATCATGAGTGGTGGTGATGGCCACGCACCACCAGTTTAGTGAGTTGCTGACAGTTAGGCGACGGGGCCAATTAGCTTCTAGAACGGGAGTGGCTGTGACTTAGAGACCTAAATTTGGGCCTCTCCGCTTCAAATGCGAGGTGAGGGAGGATGTAGTGATTTGCAATGCGGTTAAACCTACCGACACCCCGAGAAAAGGGGAGCTCAATCTCTTCCACCTCAGTACCCCTCGGTCTATTTCGACTTTTTTTGGAAGCTCGGTCGCAAGCAGATACCAAACTGAAACCGCTACCTACAGCTTGAAAACGATCACAATGTCCTTTACGCCATCACCAATGACTCCAAATCCGTCGACCGCCGTCCTACGATCCACTACTCCTCCACCAATATACTCACCTGACGAATTGGCTCATGGTCGATTTTCCCAAGAGAGAGGAGAGCCATCTTTCTCCTCTTTCCACCACTTAGACACCAAGACTTCGAGTCCAACGTATGCGGAACCCATTCAACTTCCCAGCGGACAAATCTGACAAAATAAATGAGACAAGTGACGAGAGCGACGAGGCTTTGATCCTCGATGGTGCTCTCCCGGGGCCTGTGATAGCTGAAGGCTCCATGTCGACAGCTCGAGCGCCAGCTTCACTGGACTACGGACTACGATTACATGATTCCTCCGCAGCCTCGCTCCGATCTGCCCAGTCAAACTCGAATGCAATTTTCAGACCAGTTACCTCGTATTCAATGCCGGCGTCGACTGCTGATCTTACCGTCACACCGCTCCATCTATTAGGAGATCAGGCAGATTTCGTGGACTGCCCGTTCTGTCGGCGACGAGTTGAAACTAGAATTAAGAAGAATGCTTCTACAGCTACGCAGTGAGCAAGGACCTCTCTCAAATTGTTCAATAGCCAAAGCCTAGCATGGGATAATTCTACTTACACATATTCGCTCAGCATGGCCGCAACCGGACTCTTCTTTACGACCGTTGGAGGCGTAGTAGCACCCTACGCTGCCAAATGGAAATGCCATATCAGTCACTTTTGCACCAATTGTGGTAAAAAAGTGGCCGTTAAGCGACATGGTTCAGATGAGATGAAGGCACTGGGGACACCAGACCATTTGCGTCAAGTGTCCAAATTCCCTGCTGCTGTCACCCCATATACGTCAAATAATTAAGGGCATTGAATTTACTTGATTTAGCATACGGAGTCTGGAACAGTATGAAGAGTCGGATAATATGTCTTTTAATGGGAAACAGGACACCAAATCCGCCAGCAGCCGAGAATTTGATCTCGAACGAAATTGACCCGTTCATTTCTTGTTATATCTATTCTAGGAACCATGAAATTTAACTAATTCGCAGGGTTGTCTGATGAACAATGAATAAAAGAAGTTTTCTTCTGCAAAGGGTTTTGGTTCGCAAAGCCCTGTACAAACACTTTTAGTGAAACAAGGTACCAGCAAGACCTTTGTGAGGCTTCCACCTCACGCTCTGTACAGTTGAGACTTTGGACCTAGCTTTAGAGGGGCAAAAGGAGCACGCAATGAAGCTCTGCCCCTTTCCTCCCAAGGTTTGGAGCCACCATACGAAATCTTCAATGATCATAGGACTCTGGAAATACCTATGTTGCATACATCTTAAATTGTCCGCCTGTTGGTTCACTTCTACCTCTGGAACCGGATTTCCTAAGTCTTTCCTGTCTTCCGAAATATTTGGTAGGAATCACTCGCTCCAAGAGCTCAAAGGACTTCAACCAAAGGGGCCGGGAGACGCATTCGCCTACCCATCACAAATACCCGTTCTGTTTCCCTTTGCATTTGCAAGCAGACTATCCTCAAAATATTTCATATACGTCACATGCCTGAGAGAAGTGCATCGACTCCAGAGGATGATTGGGGAATTTCGGCACCTCCAGTCCAGTTGGCCTGCAGGAGCAACTGGCCACCAGAAAGCACCATCTTGTCTAGAGCATATAGAATAGGAAAAGCTCAGAGCTAAACACGGCTCATCCAGCGCTCCCACGGGTTGCAGCAAACCAATAGTGATTAATTGAGGGGAGGGCAAGTGAGAGCTTATACTAAGTTCTAAAGAGATGAAAGTTATTACATATGTCGCTTAGACAGCTATGTTACTGTAATCATTGTAGAAAGTAGCTTGCTTATAGTCATCCTTCAATTTAATTTCTCGTGGAGGAGGCAGCAGCTGACACCTTTGTCCACATCTGGAGGGCGCAGCTTCAGCTGAGGCTGAATATCAGGCGCATTAGGGCGAAACTTCATGCAGGCGTGCACAGATGTGGCAGTGAGGGGAATAAATAATATCGTCGCCTAGCCCATCACAGAAAAAGCCCCAAACCATTTCTTGATTGCTCAATTAATACACCAGATATATCGTTGAAGAATCTGTCCGCTGGCCTGATATCGCGATGGGGATCAACGCTCTGCGCAGCATTGCCTTGGCCGACTTCCAAAATCAGAAATTTCAAGGGGAAGCTGCAATCCAGAAGTACAGTGTCATTAGTGCTGAGTCTACTGTAGCAGCGCAATTGCAACTCGAAGAGCGTGAATCCACGCTTCCCGACATCGAGCGACTGTGTGAGAGTAGCGAGACGCCGCTGCTTATCGTGAAAGTCTTATACCAGCGACCAATTTCTGATCACATCTTCGATTCTACGCCAGAGGAGTGCAGGAGGCTTCTGGAGCTTCTCCAAATCGACTCATATGGTCTTGGGCTAGTAGCCAACGATGCGAACGGCTTCCATAGTCTAGGGGAGGATCCTTCGACTGGAACTGCGAGCTTTTACCTCCAATGCACGGCTTACAAAATCCTCTGGTCTTATGACCCCGCAACTCGACGCTGTCGGGCAGTGGCTTTCTCATTCAACCGCCCCATGGCAAGGAAGGGTTTTGAAGACTTCAAGGCATCTCTGCAGTGCAATGGAGAGCTCCTCTCACACCCCCTAATCCTACCCATGGCCTGCCTTGCTCAGGCAGTGGGTTTTATGGATAGCTTGCTCCGCAGACAATACACAAAGTGCCACAAGACGGAGAATTCCATAGGATATCATCACCCTCAGCGAGTCATTTCGCAGTCTTCGCAGGACTTGAATGAGCTTTCGGATCTCTCGAAGGATACGAACGCTCTTAAGCTGGAGGTGGAGATGATCTTGCGACGACTAAGGCAGCTGCTCGCGGCTATCGAAGTATACGCTGTTATCCAGAGAGACTTTCAGAGCTCCGCATATGCAGAGGCTGAAAATATGTCAGAGCTTGACACTTCCGCGTCGGTAGCAAAGGCGCTGAGCCTCACCAAAACTAAGCTGGATGTTATGGAACTTGATTTTATTTACGTCGGTGCTAGAGCCGACGCACTTATTAGCACGGTAAGTCAGTTCAGAATTTGAACTAGCTTGTTTACTGATTACGGACTTGATCAGATCTTCCATCTCATGACACGCAATGATGCTCTTGCCACCATCGAAGTCGCACGTGCCACAGCTCGCGACAGCTCTTCGATGAAAGTTCTTGCCATCATGACAATGGCCTTCCTTCCAGGCACATTTTTTGCCGCCCTCTTCTCAGTACCCTCACTGCAGTGGAATACGGAACCGGTGGTACAGGACAAGTTCTGGGTGTACTGGGCGTTCACGTTGCCTTTCACTGCGCTTGTCTTCACCCTTTGGGCTCTTCTCACCCAGGCGGAAGAACTTGGTAAGCTTCGATCATGGGTCTGCCAGATCAAGTCAAATGCGTCTACATCGCACAAAAATAAACAGTTGCTGGAAGATGAGAGGCTAGGGATATCGGGGAGAGATTCTAGGCTTGGAGAGCAACTCAAGGAGCCGCTTTCAACTGTGCAGTACAGGTCGAGAGAAACTTCCAAAACCTGGGAAGTCTAGACCTGACTAGAGGAAGCTTTCAAGCTATCATATCTTCATGAATCATCGTACTGGATGTTTCTTCGCGTTCTCAAGTCATGGAGGCTATTTTGTGACGCGCTGTTCATCCAAATATGGGTGTGAATAGGTGGATGCTTGATAGCTTAAGGGATACTTAGAGAAGGGCGATGAGGGATCACCTGCAAAGAAATTAAAGACAGAACTCCCATTCTTAGCTATTCCATGCATCCCGTTCAGTGATTTCATCGTTGTTCCCAAACCAAAGTCCCAGAATATGCGGTGCGTGGTGGAAGATGTGACAGGAGATAGGCGTATCAATACAACAACTTCTCTATGTCTAGATTATTGATCCAAAGAGGTATTTTTCATTATCTAGCAACGTTAAACTGTAGAAATATTGGTACGTTTTGTCTAAAACCAAAGCACAATCTATGCAGCAATCCCAAAGCTCCTCTTTGTATCGTGAAGTCGCCCGATACAGCGACAGCGAGAAATCCTTGAGGTCCGTCTGTGTCGTTTCCCCCGCACTCTAGAGTGCGCTACGAATCTTCTAGTCGAGTCGAAATATCCCTCAGATGGCATTTGCACCCGCACATTGAACCGGCGGTTGTGGTTTGTTACTGCCAAACAATGTAACCTAGATTACCTAAGTACAGGGCACGCGAGTTGTCCAAATGATCAGCCTTGCCAGGGAATGTAACCTACGGATCTACGACAGGGCTCCAGATATCTACACATGGCAGCTGGGTAGCAGATTGTGGATTGCTCGCCATGATCGACGAGCGTAAACACCTTCCAATATGTAACAAGCCCTTTTTTTTCATCGTTAGTTGATATAGCTCATATCATGATAACGTACTACGTTACGCCCAAAGGCGGGATGTCGTTCTCCGCCATATCAACGCGTGCTAATCCGTTTGAAACCTCAAGCCTTTGCTCCCACCTGCCGAATTTGTGTAAAACCCCCCACCTGATCATTCCACCGACAGGAGAAGTATGAATGAATGAGATGAACTGTCTCATCTGACGAGTTCTATAAGTAAGGATGCGATGGGAGGTCAAAAATTCCGGCTCTCATGTCTTGGTGTTGCAGAGCAACTTCAGAGTAGGCTTTTGGATTGGTTGCAATTGTACATATCGCTGCATCTCCGACTACCTACCTTTCAGCAAATGCTCCATCACCTTCACCGATATTCTTCTGCTTATTAGGTACTTAAATAACATTCTCTCTGGCCAACTGCTTCCAAAATGAATCACCTGCTCCGCGCTACGTTGGCGTTGCTGCCCATCATGGCATCAACTGTATGCAACGCCATGCCAACCACCAGGCAAACCACAACCTGTGCAACCAAGGGCAAGCCCGCAGGAAAAGTCCTGCAAGGCTACTGGGAGAACTGGGATGGGTCGAGCAATGGTGTTCACCCCGGGCTCGGGTGGACACCAATCACAAACTCCCTGATTCCCCAGCATGGCTACAACGTAATCAACGCCGCGTTCCCCGTCATTCTTTCAGATGGCACAGTACTGTGGCAGGACGGCATGGACAGTGGCGTTAAAGTCGCGACCCCTGCCGAGATGTGTGCGGCCAAAGCTGCCGGGGCCACCATACTTCTGTCCATCGGAGGTGCGACGGCAGGGATCGATCTGAGCTCTTCCGCGGTCGCTGATAAGTTCGTCGCGACGGTCGTGCCCATTCTTAAGAACTACAACTTTGACGGTATCGATATCGACATCGAGACTGGCTTGACCGGCAGTGGCAGCATTACCACGCTCTCCACGTCCCAGCAGAACCTGATCCGTATCATCGACGGCGTTCTTGCAGCGATGCCGTCCAACTTCGGGTTGACCATGGCGCCTGAGACGGCGTACGTCACTGGAGGAAGCGTTGTTTACGGCTCTATCTGGGGCTCTTACCTGCCCATCATCAAGAAGTACGTTGACAACGGCCGCCTGTGGTGGCTGAACATGCAGTACTACAACGGAGAGATGTACGGCTGCTCCGGCGACTCATACGCCGCGGGCACGGTCGCAGGATTCATCGCGCAAACCGACTGCTTGAACAACGGCCTGAACATCCAGGGTACAACGATCCGCGTCCCCTACGACATGCAAGCCCCTGGTCTACCAGCCCAGGTGGGCGCCGGTGGTGGCTACATGTCGACGACCCTTGTCGGACAGGCCCTGGACCACTACAATGGAGCGCTCAAAGGCTTGATGACCTGGTCAATCAATTGGGATGGGTCCAAGTCGTGGACGTTTGGCGACAATGTGAAGGGGCGGCTTGGGACCGCATGAAACCTGTGTGTGGCATCACTGAATTTGTATATACGCCGATACATAGATTGTCTATATGGGACTGAATTGAATGATGACTGTGATGATGAGCAAGTATGGGGTGAGATTTCCAGTCAGAGTCGCAGTAGTAAGCATATTACTACTATTGTCCGGGCTTGCATGCCACTATTGGGTAAGGGAAATGGCATAGCATTTGATCCGGTGTAAAAATTCTTCTAAATCAGTTATCAAGAGCTATGAAAATGTCTTTGCTTTTTGTTTGCTCTTCAGTCTCGCCGCTTCAGCCACTTCTTTCAACCACGTGGATTAGTTGCTTGGCTCTTTAAAAGGATTTTCCCAAGGAGTCTTGATGACAAGACTGTGGCCAGGCCTTCCGAAGTTCCGACTGATGCTGGGTTCTGGTAGCTAAGCCAACCCCTGGTCCAACTACGTATGCAGCCGTCAGCTTGGCGTGGACAAACTTGCGGTCTTGCCCCTCTAGAGTGAGAAATTAGCGGCAGCCACATGCACAATAGCCTTTTCTGCTGTGTTCAAGAGAATTACTAGAACTGGGAGATTGGTTGTTGGCTTTAGTACTTCCCGTCCTGGCATTGTCTGGCCCAATATGGTCATGAATGCGTAAAGACAATGGGTCTGGGATCCCAAAAGGAGCGCCAACCTTCTCCGCAAGGGTACGCGTACCAACAATCAATATTCAATATCGAGCGGCGGCGTAGCACGGATCGACACGTTATTCTTGTCCGAGCGGGCATGGCACACTAAGAATAGGATCCCTCCCATGGCGTTCGATGGACCCAGGAGGGCCTGTCAACTCGGTCTAAGCCTCGCCAAAAAGTGCGAAGTACCATTCAAAGCCATCTCATTTGTACAAGCGGGTACTCTGTAATCTCCTAATAGAACGGGGCACGGAGGCAATAGGACTGAAGTGCAAAGCAAATACAACCTGTGGGTAATTATCCGTGCGGTGATGCAATGTGAGGAAGTCAATATTAACTAATTCTAGCCACACACTGCTCTGAATGTTATCCATCCATACTACGCCCGTCTCGTCCCATCGCAGAAGATGTCACTTACGAGATCAGTGTCGCCGCTTTCATCAGGTCCAAGTCCGGTCAGCGGGCGCTACAATGAGATCAGCCCGATCGAGTCGCAGAATTACCAAGAGCAGCAGCAATATCAGGCAATATCCTCAGTCGGGGATCCTCAACAACAAGAACAACAACAGCAGGAGCCACAGCAGCCACGACAGCAACAACAAGGGGAAGAATTTTACAATCCCTCACAGAATCCCGCCGGAAATGTGCAGCCTACACATCCAGATCGGACGCCGATGCTGTCGGATGGACAAGAAGGATTCTCTCGCGGGCAGGTTGCTGAAAAGACGCCACCTGAATTCGTGAAAGGGGGTCTCAGGATCGAGACCATCATAGCCGACGTTCTCACAATCCTTATCCCCATAGCTCTACTGATTTTTGCCTCAATTCTGATCTCCAAAAACGGCAAAGAGACTTCCATACACCAGATTGAGCAATGGCAGAATGCCGCGTCTGTGGTGAGCCTGAGCAGGTCTATGATACGATATATTTCTAGCTAACATGATGCGCTTGATTCATCCAGCTCTCTACATTCTTCCCTTTGTTTTTCTCTGCAGTGGTGGGCCGCTTGATGATGCAACTAGGCCGCTGGAAATTGGAAAGAGGTGTCACCGTGGAAACTCTCGAGCAGCTCACAGGGAGTAGAACCTTTTTCGGTGCAGTAATCACACAGATCCGCCTACGGAGCTTGAGCGTACTCGCCGTCCCTCTTGTTCTCCTCTGGGCTTTTTCGCCAGTCGGTTCCCAAGCTCTCACTCGTCTCGTTCAGCCGCGGCAGGCCATTGTCACGGAATCAAGCCGCATGACCTACTTTGACACCATCGGAACGGCCCCAAGTGACTCGATTGGGGATGGAGTGATGGGCAATGAATGGTGGTACAGCATGGAGCGGATGAGCAAGCTGCGAGCAGAGTTGGATGCGAGAAACACGCTCTATGGATCCATGCTCACGGCTCCCCGGGCGGTCAAGCAGAGCAGCATGGACTCATGGGGTAATATCAAGATTCCATTTTTAGCCAACGACCAGGACAGTTCCTGGCAAGCTGTCGCGGCAAACTCGGATCGGCCATACAGCTCCCTCGTTGGTCTCCCTTTTGCGAACATCTCCTCGGGCAACAACACTTTTGAGATTGAGTCGACCTACGTTGCACTGGAATGCGACGACTTGGAACTTTGGGAATTACCTGTTGGGTCCAGCAACTCTTCACAATCGGGATACCTCAATGCCACGTACATAGCAGCCTTGGGAGGCGGTGGCGTTGAACAGCCGGCGCCGAATGGGACGTTTCAGGGGTTCAGCATCGATCGCGGAGGCAATTACGACTCGCGGGAAGCTTCCTGGAGTGTAGGCATTGATCGACTTATCAATGAGAAATGGCTGGAGGGTTTCGAGTGGGGGAGTGATGGACAAGAACAGACCAAGAGGCGAAACACCCTGAGACTATTCGAAAATGAGCAGGGGATTGATATTGGGCCTACCAGAATCTCATTCCAGTCATACGTCCCTCAAAATACGACGGAAAACCCCGAAGTCACCCAGATGAGATATCACGGCACTCACTGTACTGTGAAGCAAAAGTACGTCGAGTCCAAGGTCGACTGCGAGAAAACAAGCTCGTCGAGCACTGCACAATGCTCCGTTACCGCGCAGCGGCCATCCCAAAGGCAAAGTCTTTCGGAAAATCTAACCATTTTGAACTGGCCTCAAACATGGCTCATTCTTTCCAAGTATTGGCCTCTTGCCTCAGCCCCGTCCATTCGCTTTTCGGGCTACGCGAGCCATGACCTGACATTGCAATATCTTGTTGATCCGGACGCGAGCCTACTGTTTTCCTCGGCCGCAGTACAGCTCGAGCCTTCAAAGATAGACAAGAAGGATCTCAGCACCAGATTGAGCCAGGTACTCAATACATACATTCAGCTCTCCTCTGCAGCAGGTCGTGCACTCGAGGGCAGCAGCTTGAACGGGGACGGCTCTAATACCCAAGAAGCGGATTCACAAGTGGGTAAATGGATCGTTGTATATTCGATTTCCACAGTTTGGACTGTGTTCTGTATTTTGTCGATTATACTGCTACTCGCGAGTGGCGTGGCAGGTGTGGTATTTGCTCATCTAGCTGTCAGTCCTGCTGTGTTTGGATACGCCACAGCAGCCTTGCGAAAAAATAATATGTATCTATCCAAGGCGTCAGAGACCATGGATGGGATGGAGCTCGCGAGGGAGCTGAAGAAGAGGCGGGTATGCTACGGTTGGTCGGAAAACGATTTAAGCACAGATGGCGTTACTGGTATTGGCGAACTTCTTGATACAGGGAGACTTGAGGATACGCCACCGAGAGTGTAACATATTTAGACTATGTATTAAAGTAATAAGAGTAATGATACCCCAATGATCTTTCCAGCACTGGCCCTCACAATATCTTCTAAAAGCCATTCGACCGATGTCAGGTTATACCACAACCTGGTGGTCTAACTTGTCTTCGAGATATCATCCAGCAATCCTTTTATTTCCTGCGCAACAAACCGCGGGTTATCTCTCTGCACAAAGTGCCCAGAATGAGGTGCCTGCACTGGGCCTTGGGCTCTCTCGGGCGCCGTAATTTTAACGAGACCTTCATTATATCGTTGCCAGTAAGGATTGGTATACGTTCTAGTCACCGGCTTCGGCCAGCCGGACTTTTCGCATTCGTCGACGAATTTCTCGAAGTCGTGCCCGACAACCCTGACGAAAGGCTGCTGCTCGTTCGGGCCCTGGGGTTTGGGTGCATCACTATCCGGTAGAAGCGAAGCCAGATTCCTCCTGTCAAGACTTTCGGCGTTGGGGACGCTTGGATGGAAGATTTGGCGAACCAGACTGCGAACCTCCCTGAGGTTTTCAGGTGTTACTCCGTCTGGGAGAGCTTCAGGGTCGAACTCCGCAGCATCGGGATCTGGGAACATGGAGACAAAGTCCGAGTTGGCAATGATGCTATCCAGAAGAAGCAACCCGACCACTGTGCCGGGGTATGATTGTGCGTAAAGCCGGGCCAAAGCGCAGCCAATCGAATTGGCGACAAACACAACTGCAACATCGTCCAGGTGAGGGATATTCAGCTTCTCTCGGGTAATCTGCGAAAGCAGCTGCCTCAGATCTGCCACCACGGAAGCGCAGTCATGGCCGCGGGATGGATCAGGAGCAGTCTCATCCAACGGATCCCGATCAGTCGTCTGACCTTGGCCAAACCGATCGTATGTGATCATTGGGGGCAGACCGCCACCTGGATACATATCCTGCAGCTCCGCGATGGCCGGTGCCCACCCCGCCTGGGGAAGCATGAGGCCATTCAGGAACACAACAATGCGCTGCGGCGCCTCTGTTGATGTGGACTGGTAGAGGCGGTAAAGTATACGAGCCTGGGGCTTTGTGGTAAGCCTGATGGACTGAAGCTCGGACATGGCTGGCTGTTCTCGATGCGATTGAATGATCAAGGTCGGTGGTGGGTAAGAGAAAGATGAAGGACGACGACCTCAATCGCGCAATTGCTGACAGTCAGAATGTCGCTCAAGCTGACCAAGACCAAGATTCTCATAGGCCCAACTCTACCCAACAGCATCACATCGCTCCAACATGACGTATGTCAAGGCACGGTTATTCTAAGCGTGAAAGTGTGAATTCAGTCAGGCGATCATCAAGACATCAACCAGCATCGCGCCCTCGGGAATCTGTTTGCCAGAACGACTTGGCGAGTGTATTATTTTATTTCGTTTAAAGTCTCTATTTTCCTTCTATTCCCTGGACCGAAAATTCATTCATTCAAAAACAAGAAGAAATTCCGTACACCCCCAAAATCAATTGCCCGCAATGCCCATATCGTCTCACATCAATTCCGCTCAGTTTTGGTTAACATACTTGGGGATGGTGGCCATGACACCGTCCTTGGAGATGAGCTCCATGGCCTTGGCGACCTCCCCGACGAAGCGCTTGTCGTTGCGCAGGTTGTCGCCGAAGAGCATCTTGATGCTGAGGAGCTTGGAAGGGTCGTTGCCGCCCTCCTTGGCCAGGGCCTGCAGTTCCTCCTTCATCGGGTCGTCGACGTCGAACTTGTTGCCCTTGTCGTCGACGCCGTTGATGTAGAGGAACCAGGCGGCGGTGACGAAGCAGAGGCGGCGCAGGGGCGCGTTTGACCAGATGGCCTCGGCGACGGAGGGCATGATGAACTGGGGGATCTTGCCCGAGGCGCCCAGGGCGACGCGGGGGATCTGGTCCATGATGGTTGGGTTGGAGAAGCGCTCCATCAGGGTGGTGCAGTAGGCCTCGATGTCGACGCCGGGGATCTCGGGCAGCAGGGGCTTGGCCTCCTCCTGCATCATCTCCCAGACGAACTGGCGGTAGATGGGCACCTCCATGACCTCGTGGACGTACTTGAAGCCGGCGAGCTGTCCGGGGTACGCCATGGCGGAGTGGCTGGCGTTGAGCAGACGGAGCTTGTGCTTCTCGAACTGCTCGACGTCGTGCACGTCGTGGACGATCTGGACGCCGACCTTCTCAAAGGGCGGGCGGCCGTCGCTGAACTTGTCCTCGACAACCCACTGCATGAAGGGCTCGGTGACGACCGGCCAGCCGTCCTCGATGCCGGACTGGTCCTTGAGCGACTGGATATCTCTAGGAGAAGTGCTGGGGGTGATGCGGTCGACCATGCAGTTGGGGAACGCGCCGTTTTCAGCAATCCACTTGGCCATCTCCGGGTCGCGGAGACGGGCAAACGACTCGAGCATGGAGCGGCTGATGGAGCCGTTCTTCTGCATGTTGTCGCAGGACAGGACGGTGAAGGGCTTGAGGCCCTGCTCGCGACGGCGGACCAGGGCGGCGTAGAGGAAGCCGAAGGTGCTGATGGGCGCGTCGGGGTGGGCGAGATCGTGCTGGATGTCCTCGTGCTCAGCCTGCAGCTGATGGGTGTTCTCGTTGTAGTAGTAGCCGCTCTCGGTGATGGTCATGGACACAATGTGCGTGTCTGGGTGAGCCATCTTGGCAATGACAGCCTCGCGGTTGTCAGGGGCGAAGAGGAAGGAGTTGATGCTGCCCACGACCTTGGCGAAGCTCCCCTTGGCGGACCGCTCGACGACTGTGTAGAGGTAGTCCTGGGAGCTCAGGACATCGCGCATGGCCGCATCGTTGGCTCGGATTCCGACACCGCAGATGCCCCAGTTGCTCTCTCCGTGGTTCTGCAGCAGCTGGTCGACGTAGACGGCCAGATGGGCTCTGTGGAAGCCGCCGACGCCGATGTGGACAATGCCCTCCTTGACGTCATCTCGGTTGTAGGTAGGGACCTGGACCTGCCGCGTAGCAAACTGAGACAGGCTCTGGGTGCCCAGCTTGAGGGGCTCTGGGTTCTGAGACATGGCAATTGCTTCTTGACAGTGCTTGGGGATGGAGGGGACTGGGAGCAGAGGGATGAGGAGAGGGCGAGCTCGAACGATCAAATAGCTTCCGGCTGGTTCTGACCGCTCGTTTTTCAAGTTTCCCCGGAAGAAGTTCGGCGGGCTCGCCTCGCACAAGCACGTTGTGTATTGTCTGGCAGGATGGAGGGTCTGGCTGGCCATAAACTGGGCCCGCGCTATCAAAGCCGGGACTAGATCTGCACCAGCATGGAGACAGACTTGCTGGTGGCACAATCGATGCTGGAAATGTAGCTGCCTAAACCCAGTCCCTGGCTTATTAATTGGCCACATGACCTGCTGAATTTTGATCTCTTCTGCAGAAAAAAGGGGGCGTTGGACGGTGACACGCTGACACTGGCTGGCCAGGTGCCTGTACCTGCGTCTCCCACGCAATTTCTGTTAGCAGCTACTGGCCATCTTTTTGTTGAATGTACCTACATGAGCTTGAGCCGCGGTCTTTGGTTGATGGCAGCACTAATGGAAATGACTAAGGTCAACAATTCTTGCATTAATCTGGAGCCAACTCCGTACCAAGGTTTTTTCTGCCCCCACACATCTGCTCATCTCCCAGCTCATCGTGGGGGTTATCCGGCTGAGCCCGTCGTTGAGGTGTGTTTGTCTCAACTTGACGAGACCAGCCAGCTTGACTCAACCCCAATTCCCACGACACCCCCTAAGAAACGGTCTCTACTGTATGTGATCAATTGATGCTTCAAGGTACCTGCCCTAAGTTCTTCGCTTTTCTTCTTTTCTTTTTCAAAGCCCTTTTCCAGAAAAACAAAAACGAACATTTTCGTTCAGAGACTCTAGTTTAGGCAGTCATCTTTTTTTAGCCACAAATCTCCAATTTCTAGTCGAATATCGAACGACTATCTCCCTTGGCGAGACTGTCTAGTCTCCCATGTGGGTAGGTAAACGGCAGGTTAGTTGTCCCCGTGTGGAGAAAAAGCCAGGCACAGAGCATACCCGAGTCCGTCCCCTGCTGGCAAGTCAGGGAGATGATGATCTCGACCATTCTAGAAACGACCTAGGTCTTACAACTGGTTCGACGACTCAGGGTGCAGATAATCGATTTGTTCATCCCAAGGCGAACCTCTCATGGGCCAGTACGACAAGTGCTAGCTATCTCTTGTTAAATGTACATATTGCTCACCCAGCCAATGCTCAATTGGAAAGCATTATCCTTCTGGAGGCAAACTAGTAAGTATTCCATGAGACGGACTCCTCTTTGCTGCTGAGATTCTTGTCATGTTTTGACACACTGGGAACTGCGGCGTTCAGTATGTCTCACATCTCCTCCAACCTTCAGTTATTGCCCGTGAATTGATTGCTCAATCCAAAATATCAAATATCCGAACCTTTGCTATGTCTAGAAAAAAACTCCCATGAGGTTACAAAAGATCAATGCTCTAGACTGTAGCTATAGGGAAATTTCCAGCCAAGCCTCTCAAATGGCCTGGTGGACAGCAATCAACGTATTTCTTGCATCCAGGCTCGTATTGGCCCAGCATGCCGGTTTCAGTGTGTTTGAAACATGTATTCACTACTAATCTGTCGCATGCGAATAGTCTATTCATTCGATCCTTATCTTTTGACCTTTTCAGCTTCATTCAGTTGACGAATTCAAATAGAGTTCCACCGACCAGCAGCAAACTTCTGCATGCGGAGACACCAAAAGACCACCAACCGAATGTTTAAAATCAATGCCGAATCTGGGTAGATATGTTTCAATTCGTCAAAGTAGTAGCTGCTGTGAAAGATACGCCCGAAAAGAGCCAGTATACATGTCCACTTTTCCTCGATCGCAAAAGCATCAGCATGCATTGCCATACTCTATGAAGAGCAAATACAGCGTGGAGACCTTTCTACTAGCTACACTTCATTTTTAGATAATCAATTGCTTCTTCTGTCGTCATATGCTTGAAGTTTAGCGAAAATTTCGCCTTTATCTTAGCATCGACCCACTGCTCTGCCGAAGCTCAAGATCAGTCTCCGCCGCGTCATGATGACGTATCGATGAATGGATGATGTTCAGCATTGATTCAGATACCGATCAGGCCGGGCCAATGAAACACAGGAGCAAGATAAGGAAATGACAGATCGGTTGGTGAATCGATAGATAACATTAACAGTATGGACTAGAACATAGGTATATGCATAATCATGTGATCGTTCCGCTGTACATTGTGAATAACTCCCTCTCCTGCATTACCAATTGTTCATTGAGTGCCAGAATTTAATCTGACGGAAGATGAGGTCTAAGTAATGTCGGTATTGTTCAGAGACCGCGTCATTCGTGGCGGTGCGGGCCGTCACTCTTGATGATATCTGCAGCCTATCATCTCGTTAGCATATCGTGTGTCTCAATGATAACACCTCAGATGCGACAGGTCTTACCTTCTCAGCAACAGCATAAACAGCTGCCTGCAAGTGCGCGCCAGGAATAGTAGGGAAGATACTGGCGTCAACAACCCTCAGACCCCTCGTCCCGTACACCCGCAGCGAGGTGTCGACGGCACCGCCGAGGTCGCGGGACAGCATCGACGCGGTGCAGCTGGGGTGGTAGTCGGAGTGGAGGCTGGCCCGGAGGGACCTCTGCAGCTCCTCGTGGGTGACATCAGGCCCGAAGCCGGCCTGGGCCACGGGCTGCAGCTCGGCCATGGACTTGGTGGTGATGAGCCGGTCGTTGAAGCGCAGGCCAATCTCCACCATGTCGCAGTCGAAGGCGTGGGAGCAGTAGCGGGGGTCGATCTTGGGGGCGTCCCAGATGGACTTGGAGGTGGCGGAGACGTTGCCCCGGCTGAGCGGCTGCATGACGGAGACGGTGAGGCCGCCGAAGGAGTTGGACATGAGTTCGTAGGCGGAGACGTCGTCCTTCTCGAGAAGGCCGATGATGCTGGTGAGCTGGGCGTCATATCCGGCACGCAGCGTCTCGTCGTAGGAGTCGGGGAGGCTGTTGGCGATGGAGCCGTTTCGGATTGCGTTGAGTCTGTCGGCATAGTCTGGTGCAACAGAGGGGAAGCCGGGGAATGCCACGGCATGAATCAGGGGTGTAGTGTAAGGACCTAGGAAGGACCCCAATGTCAGCATGAGAAAGAAGCATCACGATAAGCCAGCACATCCCATCAAGACTCACCAGTGTGCTCCTCCTGCCACTCCTTGAGACGAGCTGCTCCCTCAGCTCCAGTGAGATTACGTGAGGTGTAAAGTCCCGGGACGGTATCTACACATGTGTCAGTCTTGACATCACCCAAGGAGCTCCAACGGTTTCCGACTAACATTGATATTCTAGCAAAGCATATTAGTATGGTTCCATTTCAACTAGGATATATCATGGAACTCACCAGGAGAGATCATAGGATGATCCTGGAAGTTGTTTCCAACTCCGGGAAGGTCGACGAGGACGTCAACACCGAGCGACTCAAGATGTCTTCGGGGACCGATTCCGGAGATCTGAAGGAGGGTAGGTGTGTGCACGGCTCCGGCGGAGAGAATAACCTCTCGCTTGGCAGTGATATTACGCACGGCAGCTCCAGAGTCCGTGGCAAACTCAACACCGACGGCCTTGGGGTCGCCGTTGGAATTGTCGAACAGAACACGAGTGACTCGCTGGCCAGTGGCGACATGGAGGTTTGGACGATCAACGATGGGGGTCAGGTAGCCATCTCGGGCACTGCACCGGGCATTTGTGTCGCGGGTCAAGCTGGAGGGGACAACGGAGGCACCAGTCATGTTGCCTTCGTTAGGCTCGCCGACGATGGTGATGCCAAGCTCCTCGACGCCGTTGAGGAAGTTCTCAGTTTGAGGGTGGTAAAAGTGCCTGGGATAACCGACTTGGATGGGCCCATTACGACCGTGGATTTCAGAGTCAGGGTCGATCTGGAGATTGTCGCGTCCGTAATCATTTACATCAGGACTGAAAGACTCCGACTTCTTGAAGTAAGGGAGCAGGTCATCCCAGCCCCAGCCGTCGTTCCCGAGATCAACCCAGGAGTCGTAGTCGGAGGCAGAGGCACGGGTCCAGACCATGCCGTTGACGACACTTCCACCACCGACAGCCTTGCCGAGGGGAAAAGAACGGTCGGCGTTGTCGAGGAAGGTTTGGGGGACGGTCCTCCAGTTCCAGTCGTACATGGAGACATCCTCGAGACCGATGCTGCCAGGAGCCTGCACTTGCCATCGCCCGTCGTCCAAGCCGCCGGCTTCGAGGACGAGGACCCTGCAACACTTCTGTTCAGTGAGGCGGTTGGCGAGAACCAGGCCAGAGATTCCGCCTCCAACAATCACGTAGTCGTAGGATGGGTGAAGAGAATCGATGGCATCGGGGGGAATAATCGCACCAGCCACTAGGGGTGCGAAGGACAAAAGACCGGTGAGGGCACCAGCCAAGAAGCCCATTTTGAAGAAGTTCTCGAACCAAGTAATGAGTGTATGTCCAGTAGGGATATCAGTATTACCGTGCTAGGCAGAGGCGAACGAATGGATTCCGTAGAATGAAAGCAACTGCCTTCAAATGAGTGTCAAAATTGTGTAAAAGAATGAATGGACGAGCGAACGAATGAATAAAGGTTGGTTAGCGAGAGACGTCCTACTGCATCACATAAACGAAGGTGAATGAAGCAGTGGATTATGCTACAAAGCTCAAGGGCGAGCCAGACAATCCATCAAGAAGAAAGGAATGCCACGCGTAGTGAACAAGGGAGAAAAAGAAGAAAGATCGCGAAAAAGAATGTCGGTATCTGGCCAATGGTCCCCAGATGGTCACGACAAAAGGACCGCCACGCAGATGGAAGCAAAGCCCTGTCCGGTCCGCATCATTGGAGTCCACGACCAGGCGGCTAACAGCAGACAGTCGACGGAATGATTGGGCCCTCTGTGGCTCGATGAGACCGCTCAGGGCGCCTCAATCGGCTCGGGACCTGCGCATGAGCCTCCAATTGCAGATCCGGAAATGAGATTTTCTCGGCAGAGTGGAGAGGGCCAGCCAATAGATCACGGCAAGTGAATCGAGCCTACAAAGAGGCTGACCTGATTGTCAGGTTAGGCTCGTGTTGACCTGCGGCTAGGGAGATCCTTTGAAACGCCCAATGTCTCGGAATGTCAGGGGGCAGGGGAATTCGATCTGATTCCCGATTCTCGTGGCGTCCATCGTGAGGTTAATTTGCCCCTGTACCTCGCTCTAAAAGCAAATTCGCGGGGAGAAACAACATTGATTCAATAAGAGACTTTAGTCCTAGGCCGGGAGGATTATCGTGGCACGAGAAGGACCCGATGAGACGCAATCTCCTTGCCCGGATGCACTGCATTGGCACGACACTGCTTCATATAACTACCAGAAGATCATCCTCAGCTAATGCAGGAGAACCGGCGCATTCGTATTACACATGCAGGCGGTGGAACTCTAAGCATTGCACTTATGGTGCAGATTCTCCCTCTTCATGCGAGCCACATGCATGAATGAGTCAGGCACACGTATATCATTACTCGTATCAGACTAGGTGATGGGCGTCTTTTCTCGCTCGCTCACTCCACCTGGCTCCAAATCGCCTGAAGCCTCAAGATCTCTGCTGTCTCATCGCCGCCAGACAGCTGGGCCAGCTCTGCCTGGGACTCCATCCCCAGCTGCGCGCCAACCAAGCCGTTCCTGGTGCCGTGCCAGCCCAGCGAACTGTTCCCGTACATGTAGCCGTCCGTCGCTCCCGCCGCCATGGCGAAGCTGTTGGCCCCGGCGTAGACAGTGCTCTGCACGCCCTTGTGCAGCGCCGCCCGCCTCCTCATCGCCTGCATCTGCTGCATGACCTCAATCTGCAGCACGGTCGCGTTGTACACCTGGAACCGCTGCGTGCCAAGCTCGCGGAGCCTGTCCTCGGCCGCCTTCGACTCCGGCGATCCCACAGCGCCAGCGGCGTTGGTCTCCAGCCAGAGCCTGCGCATCCGAGGCGACCACATTTGGCAGATGCGTAGATCTTCCTCGTATAGATCCCGGACGGGCAGTGTGTCCGCGAGGGGCTGGGACATGGCACACTCGAGATAGCACTCCTTGCACATGTACAGCTCGTGGTAGCCGAACCAGGTGCCGCCGCCTTGGGCTTTCAGGCCGGGGCATGCCCGCACGCCGGACCATAGTCTCGCGTAGTCTGCGAAATGGCTGAAGAGGCCCTTCTCGATCATCTGGCCAAAGTGGCTCAGCAGGTCAAGGGCGCGCGGAGCAGTGATGTGGAGGCTGCACAGGATGGGCGAGCTGGAGCTGCGACGCGTCCGCTCAAAGTACTGTGCGACGCCAATCGGGACCAAGAAGCCCGCATGACACGCCTCGCAGATGCTCAGCCCGTCACATCCACCCTGTAGAGTCCACCAGGTGCTGCTCTGGATGCCGTTCGCTGTGCAGCTCGGCAGGCGGGAGGTGGCCTCAGCGGCGGTCTTGTAGACGCTGAAATCCCGCTGATAATGTGCCGCGTCGAGGGCGACGTTAAGTGACATCCGCGCCAGGCTGCACAAGCCCTCCTCCGTGTCCTGGATGTAGTCGTTGAGAAAGGAGCGCAGACCGGGCTTCGGTTTCTGGTAGCGCTCGAAGTGGCTGGCAAAACCCTTCACCACCAGCTTGTCCACGTAGCAGGTCTCGCAGACCCTCAGACCGCCACCGCCCTGTCGTAGAACGTACGACACTGAATCGCTGCCCAACGTCCGTGGCTCGACCAGGGTGCACTCTGGTAGTCCGAGGCGGTGGGCGGTCGCTGCGATGAATGTGTTCCAATCCCCATTTGCGCTCATGCTCCGGAGGTTCGCGGCCACAGAGGGCGCACAAGCGTCGCACATGATGCCTTGCGTATCTTTAAGCTTGGACTGGTCGTAAGGTGAGAATCTGGACTCGAAAGACGTGCCTGATATGCGATACACGTAGCAGGCCTGGCACGCAAGGAAGCCGTCAAGCACGCCCGCCTCCGTGACGACATACCACTTCATAGCAGCACTCTCCTCGGGTCCGTTGTACACTCTCCCACTGCATGGTTGAAGGTCCTTGGTCTCGGAGAAGAAAGCCACCAATGCCTGCGTGTCGCCGCTCTGCAAGGCCTGCTCCCACAGCTGGTCTTTGATGCGAGGCAGCCAGAAGCAGCAAGTGCCGCCGGCCTGGTCGACTTTCTCGAAAGCGCCGGCCAGGGCAGTACTCTGGATGTGGTCTGCGTAGCAACGCGTGCAGACGAGGTGGCTGGGCGCATCGGGAAGACGGTACCAGTCCATCGCGTAGCTGACTTCCCTGTCCTCTGTGCAGTCCGGGATGATCTCATTTGATTCACCTGATAAAGCGATGGTGGGCGGTCCTCGGGGAGGAAGCAGGGGTCGATCCTCAGAAGCCGGGGCCGGGACCGGTGCATGTGCATGTGCCGATGGCGGTGCAATGGGTGCCGGGAGCTCTTGGACTGGTGGAGGGGGGCCGGGCGGAGAGACTGATGAGGGAGGTTGAGGCTGGGATACTGGAGTTTGAACTCCCATGTTGCCCATCTGAGAACAGAGCTCTGCCACATTTGGAGGCGACGACATGGGTGCGTACGTGCCATATTGAGGGTGAGAATATTGCTGCTGCTGCTGCTGCTGCTGCTGGGGAAAGGCCCAGCTGGCGGATGGCGCGCTATCACCCGGGAGCTCAGCGATCAAATGCGGTGGAGGAGCCGTTGGAGGAGGCAGGTAAACCTCTTCTGGCTGTGTCTGTAGCGGATATGATGAAGGCAGAGGCTGCTGGTTCACGTGGGCCAGCGGCGAATAGTAGGTCGGGCCAGGAGCTTGACGCTGTGCAGCCGCGTTGGTGACGGGCACAGGAGGCGGCAGAGGAGGCGGCAGGAAGGCATCATTGCTGCTCACGCCGGAGTTCAACTGAGGGGCATAGTATTGAGGCGTATTTGCGTATGGGGATGCTGAGGCAGGGTACGTCGTGGGAGAGAAGGACGAAGGCGAGGGGGTGATACCGGGAGGAGACAATGGAGCTTGCTGGTAAGGCTGCTGCTGGTAAGGCTGCTGATGAGGTTGATAAGGCTGTTGGGGCTGTTGAGACCAGCCGCCCTGATTGTAGTTCTGCTGGCCGTAGGGGTTGGGCTGGTTCCCAGGCAGTGAGGAATTAGCCGTGGTGTGAATCTGCATGGCATCGTCCTTGAGGCTCTCGGTGACGAGACCAACCATGCTGGAGGCGAACTTCCTCATCTTGACGGCGTAGACAGCACCCGGCGGTGCTTCAGTCTCTCAAAATCTCAATCAGAGCAAAGGAAGCGTCCATCGTCCAGCGCTCATCGCGAGCAGCAGCTAAATCGACTCCGCGATTCTGCCTGGTGCGGCTGGACCTGAGAGGGGTGGCGGCGGGTCGGTTCTAGACTCCCGCCCATCCTCTTCGCCTGTGTCCAGCCGCACGAGCTGAAGCAGGCAGATCAATAGTGCCGGGATGTGGTGCCAGAGCCAAGATCTGATTTGTCTGATTGCCAGGTCGAGGCCCACGTTAGGCGTTCTGCCAGGGGAAAATCGCGTGTGGTTGCAGGAGGATATAGAGCATAGTTTGCTGCAGGGTAGGCATGGTCGCTTAACTCAGTTGGTTAGAGTGCCGTACTAATATATCTACCCGATATCCTAGTAATGCGGACGTCGCCAGTTCGATCCTGGTAGTGACCATCCATTTTGCATTTTTCTTTTTTGCCTCAGTACCATCACATCAGATCCGCCTACCCTATATAGGTTCTCTTGACAATGAAAGGCTGCAATTTACTCTTTTGCCACTGTCTATGATACTAAACTATTTGCCTTTTTGTGATGAATACTGTTGCTTTTTTTTTCTCTCATCTGCGCAAATTCAAAAAGTGCGATGACATTCAGTTGAATGCTCTCATCGTTGCGACAACTTGGAGGCATGAACTGGCTGTGATCAAGGTTGTCTTAAGGAACACTCAACCGGAACTTTACCAAGTCCGACAAGCCGGTGTCCACCCTTATCAGCAGGCAGGTAAGAATTAACCTAAATTGACATGAAACCTGGCAGACTCACAGCACCAGCAGGCCAGGATCACTTGGGCCGCCTGTTGGTTGCCTACATGACATCTGCCACCGCATTCTTATACGGCCCCCGGGATTGCAACTCTATCCAGGGGTCTGGGGATGCTGCTCGATGTTTCTTAGGCGGAGTGATGGCCCCGAGCCCCTGAGGCTATGGAAAAATTAGCTGGACGACCCGCACGAATCCCCTGTCAGCCCCGGCAACTATGGATGAAATCACGACTGGCTGTTCATCAGTAGCTTTTATGGAGTAGGGAAATTCTACCGGAATTAAGGTTGCTACCCCTTGGCGGGATATGACATCTCGTATCGCCATGCCGGCCACTAAGGTTAATTTTAAGGGTACTGTCGAGACTCGCAGTGTTTCGCGGAACCTCTCCCTCCGCAAACGTCGATCGATTCCTGCAACAGACAAGTTTCAGATTGCCCAAACGGACATGCCATGCCTTTCATGGAACCAGTCCCCCCCACTGTACCGCTGTGAATGCTATAAACATGATATCGTCCGGCTCCTTGACCATGGCAACCGACCAAGCCTTTAATTCACCTCTTCAACTCAACCAGAGCGGGTGCGGTGCATTCGTCACTCTACGTTATCTCCATACCTACCATTCCCAACAGCGCAGGCGCTGAGACAAGCGGTCATGTTTCCCATCATCTCCATTCTCTCTACGGCACTTGCCCTGACCTCGGTCGTCAATGCGCAGTGCAGTTCTGGTAGCTTTGACGCCAAGGTCGAGGGATCAGGCACCTACACTGCCACAGTCGGCTCCAAGTCTGTCTACTCTGGCTCCAACTACCTCACAGCCATCCAGACGGCACTGGACTCGATGTCGTCGGGCCAGAAACTCGGCGTCCTTGCCTCGGGCTCCATCGGCGCCAGCACCATCACCATCACCAGCGGCAAGACCTTCTACGGCTGCGGCACTATCGCTGTCACCACTAAGAGTGGACGTGGCGCGATTGAAGTCACTGATGCGTCTGACGTCTCGATCCCATACCTTACCATGACCGGCAGCCCCTACTTTGGCCTCCGATTCTCCGGCACCAAGAACCTGAACCTCGGCACAATCGTCATGGACCTGACTGCCGGGATTGGCATCCGCTTCGACCGCGACAAGGCTGCCAACTCAAACGTGGCCATAGGCTCGGTCACTGTCACCGGTGCCAGTAGCCATGCCGTCGAGACCTGGAACATCGACGGCCTGACTATCGACTCAGTCGTTGCCAAGAACGTCGGGGAATGTGGTCTGCTCCTGCAAAAGACCACTAACGCCAAGGTCGGTACCGTCCAAGGTGACAATGCCGGCTCGGGCACCGGATACGCGACGCTGCGGTTCGCCAACAACAACGGTGAGCTAAACGGCTCCCACGACAAGACTAACGTGTTCATCGACAAGGTCATCTCCCGGGGCGGTGGCCGCGGCATCTTCTGCGTGTCCCAGTCCGGTGCCGCAGAGATTGGCAGCATTGATCTCGCCGACAACGGGAACAATGCGATCCTGATCGAGAACTGCTACAACCTCAAGATCAAGGGTGGTACTGTCGATGGCGGCGGTGAGGTGCGCATCTCTGCTCGTTCCGAGTTCCCCAACACGAGCGACATCTCCATCACTGCCAAGATTAGCGGCACTACCGTTCGCGAGTCGCCTTGCGCTGACAACATGTCATGGTCAATTACTGGTGATGCAAAGCAAAATATCTGCTAGACTTATGTATATCAATGTACTGCTTTACATCTTGTTCCTTTAGCTTCGGTCGTAGTCGGTGTGGGATTGTTAACGGCGTGCTGGCCAACGCAGTAGAACATCCAATTTACCTTGTCTGAAAGGGGTCGATGTATGCTCGTGTATTAGTATCATGTGTGTTGTATATGATAGTTGCCATCGCTTGGCCGTAAGTAGATCAAAAGAACAATTGGAAGGTACCAGATATTGCCGTGATGCATAGTGCGTAATAGCCCGTTGATAGTGGTATGTGTTCGTCGTCCGTGGGAGTAGTTATCTGATAATCTGCACTGGTTCTTCCTAATGAATGGTAGGGCTAAGTCATGCCTTCCGAAATTGGTGTGTAGCATCTATGGAACAAACATGGTGGACATTCTGGTTTGATAGATTTTCCTAGAAGTGTGTCGGTCTGCGTATAGGTTTCTTTGAATACTTCTGGGAGGTATGAGCTAACTTGAGCCTTTATGAATAAGTTCATATCGGGATGTGTCATTGTGCAGTACCGTCTCGAGACATACCAGCAACGTTGATGCATTTCGAGTGGTCAGGCGAAATCACCAACAAAGCACTTCAAACCTGGCGTATGTTGGACCAGTATGCTCATTTCTCGCGAAATATTCACACTGGGAAATGCTAGAAATCTTGACAGATGTGAACTCAGGTTTGTCTTAGGAAAAATGGGTGAGACACTGTAGACGGTGGAGGCTGAGGATTGACTGAGCCACATTGAAAGAGAGAGAGCCTTGGACTCGGAAGCCTAAGCGGTCGACGGCTCGACTAAGTCGATCGCGTGATTATGAACTGCCAGGATTAGCCGTGATTGCAATTCAATTTCCGGAGACTCTTTGCGGCCCAATCTTGGGGAGAGCCTAGAATGTGACGACTCTGATATCTCACGTACCCACTCTTCCCTTCTGAGCTGATCAAGGCTGCCAGCGAGTCCAAAGGTAGCCCAGAACATCGAGCTGAGAAAAAGCAAATCTCGATAGGCAGCCTTTGATATGACTCCCTCTTTTTCACTAGCACGATGAGACACATCTAGACCAGTCCGAGGATGGACATGAAGCGTGATGTGGCTTACTCCCGCCAAGCTCGTTGGTTGCTAGCCCGAAGATCTCGTGAAGATCTTTCAATAGTGAAATGCTGGCTAGAAATTTGTCAACACCAACTGAGCTGTGATGTCGAGGATGGAGACTAGAGGGGCGGACATTGCGGTTGGTGGGTAATATTCAGCCACCAGGCCGATAGCCAAGGCGGGATTCACCTAGATTCATAACAAAAGGATAGGTCTACAGCAATCTAGCCCCATGGATGTTCGGGCTGGGTCATGAGTCCTCAAGGGTGAGATGCCACACCCCCTTTGCGGCGTTGCTGTATTGTCTCACTCTTACGACTATGTCGCCATTCCGTCCCAAAAATCAATAATGGGGCACGATCTCAGAGATCGGCCCCTCCGATCTAAGATGGTGGCGGGAAGTGGGAGCTGCAGGAATCCATCTGTTATGTACGCTATTCTCGGCATGCTTGGAAAAGATCTTTCATAGATCACGGGTCCAGCCAAGGCTGATCAGCCGCTCGTCTGATCTTTGTATCCAGATTGTCTCTGATCGAAAAACAAAACACACCTCCAGCATCCTTGAGTGCCAGGTGGTGGTGGAGTAACGCTGACGGTGGCGGCCCTATCAAGTAAGTGTGCCCGACAGAAAGCTCAAGCTAAGTCCCTCCGGAGGAAGCCGCTTTTGCTCTCCATTTCCTAAATATTTACCTTAAATATAAGGTTATTACGTTATTTTCATCAGAGAGGACTAGGAATGAATAAAGTTTATGCCATTATCCCTTAATCACGCCTTTCTACCTGGACCCTGGATACTGAATGCTGGCATTGTGATCATCATCATAGTCACTAGCTCTTGGGATGCCGCAATTTCAGCCTTCAAATTCGCTTCCCACACCATCCTTTGGTCAGCAATCAATGATTGGGCGGCGAAACCCGATTGTTCTTTCTTTTCTTTTTTTCTGCGGGGAGGGACTGGGCTGACACACCCATGCTCTCACTTTCGATAGTCGTTTAAACATGATGGGTTGTACAAGCCACTCGAGTTTGGGTCTGGGACGATCTGGAGATGATCAGACCAAAACTTGGATCACGCATGAAGCCACATAACGGGGCTTGCCAGCTGAAAGAATCATTCTGAAAGCAGCTGGGAGAGTGAGTGGGTGCTCTTGGCCAAGAGTTGGAGGCCGTCTTACTTGATAACGCTGGATGTATATACCGACAGGGGCTGTGGAGGAGCTTGGCGTTTTGAAACGCCCCTCAGCCTATCATTTGTCAATGTCGTCTAAGTTGAGACCGATGACACCATTTTGCCGGCTCCTGTTTGGTTGATTACTCCAACTAATCCGTGCTAGCTCCAGTCTGCCGTCTGCAACATCCACTTGATGACAGTGATACTTTGTTCACAAGCAACTGGCCTCCTGCCCACGGGCTTGTGTGAAAGTCCGGAGTACATGCTGATGGCGTATACCAGCACAGCTAGGAGTTGCTCGTCCCAATTACTAGCCCAAAAGAATCCAAGGTCGGCTCTCGTTCTTGGCAGACCCGTATTGCCTCTGTTTTTCACCCTCGAGATGCCATGATTGCGCGAGATGATGATCGTCTTTGCCAATGGTCCAAGTGGTGGCCAGCCAGCTGGACAGCCCGGATGTCTCGTTATTGAGGGGATAACGGCCATCCCTGTGCCACACCAACTCTCATCAACTCACTTCTGGGAGGAGTGGGCGCGTACCTCATTGAAAAGCAGCTTGTTAAGTGGGGAGTCAAACAAGCTTAAGCTGTATTTTGTGGACTTCTCCACCATGCCGACATGCAGCAAAGGCCTCGATCGCTGAGCTTGGAAGCTGGGTCTTTCGGGACGTCCGCTATGGCTAGAAACCCTTCTGCTCGGCATCAACGATTGCGTGCTTGTCCCGGAGTGGCGGGAAGAGATGGCAAGAATGGAGTCTCGGATGTGTCTCCTCCCCCAAGCCGACTCCCGGCCTGGGCCCGTCTTTGCAGTGCCATTTCCTGGAGGGTGTCACCGATGGCACCTACGAATCTTGCTCCCTGTCGGCGAGGTAGGACTTTTGAGATAAAAGACGGCTCGGTGCCGCTCCCTCCCAACCATTTCCTCCAGGCTCACCTCCAACTCCCGTAAACACTCCCAGTTCTCTCGGACTACTTCTGCCGCCGAGCCGATCACTAAGCACTGAAGCAGTATCAACATGGGATTTTTCAAGCGCCGCTCGGAGGCTGTCAAGGCTGTGTCAGCCTATCCTCCCCCCCTGGAGGATGAAGAGGCCCTCAACTTGGTGGCCGACTGGACCAAAGAGGAAGAGGCCAAGGCCAAACGCAAGTCAGTGCCACCCATCGGCATCCGATTGCCGCCCCATCTAGCGGAACTATCTTACTGACGATATTTGATCTTATCAGATTGGATTTTATTATTATGCCCCTCTTGACTCTTGGGTTTTTCTGTCTTCGTAGGTCTCTCTTCACTTAGCACAAGGGGCAATCCCCCCGCCTTTGGCACCCCCTCCCCCATTTCCATGTCGCGGCCATTTGGGCTGCACTTGCCATCATGATTATTCTTTTGGTTGATGAATCAATAACGAGAAGTTATGCTGATGACGATTTATCACAGAGCTCGACCGTGGCAACATCGCCAATGCTATCACTGACAAGTTCATGGAGGATGTCGGCGTCACACAGGACGAGTTCAACATTGGCCAGCAGATGCTGTCGCTGGGCATCGTGCTCTTTGAGATCCCATCCAACATGATCTTGTACCGCGTCGGGCCTGGAAAGTGGCTTACTCTGCAGCTCTTCTTGTTCGGCTTCGTCTCTACCTTCCAGGCTTTCCAGAACAGCTATGGCTCCTTCATCGCGACCCGATTCTTGCTCGGAATCACCGAGTCTGGTTTCATTCCTGGCGGTCTGTGGACGCTTTCGACCTGGTACACGCGCAGTGAGACTGCCAAGCGTGTCATGTTCTTCTACTTCGGCAACCAGTTCGGCCAGGCCTCTTCCAAGCTGCTCGCCTACGGTATTCTCCACATGCGTGGCGTCGCTGACAAGGCTGGCTGGTTCTGGCTGTTCGTTCTCATGGGCGGTTTCACCATCTTCAGCGGCTTCATCCTCGGTTTCTGTCTGCCCGATTCCTTCAGGAACCCCTGCAGCACCTTCTTGCCTGGTATCAGCTGGTTCAACGAGAGGGAGCTGCACATCCTTAAGACCCGTGTCCTGCTTGATGACCCCATGAAGGGAAAGAAGAAGAAGAAGATTGGACTGGGCGCTTTCAAGAAAGCTGTGAGTCCAACCAGTTCCTCTCAACTACTGTTCCACAGGGAGTATTCTAACATGCGGCCCTGTAGTTCTCCAACTGGCGCCTCTGGGTCCACGTCATCATCACACTCTCCAACAATGGTCCTCAGCGTGCTTTTGACACATACTCGCCCACCATTGTCAAAGGCTTTGGTTTTGAAGGCCTGACCAGCAACGCTCTCGCTTCCGTCGGTCTGTTTGTTCAGATTCCAGTGTCTTGGGGATTCAGTTATGTTTCCGACCATTTGTGAGTTCCACTGGCAGATCGTCTATGCAAGTTTCATACTCACAGTCTTCCTTAGCAACAAGCGTGGTGAGACTGTCATGGCCGGCATGAGCATGCATCTCCTCGGTTACGTCTTTAACCGAATCTTCACCGAGATCGACCTTCGCGGCGTCCGATACTTTGGCGTGGTCTGGACTCAGACCTTTGGCACCTTTAGTCACCCTCTCAACATCGCCTGGATGTCGCTCACATGCAGTGACTCTGAGGAGCGAGCTCTGGCTATGGCTATGTAAGCTGACTTGGATATCTTATTTTGACGCTTGAACGACACTGACTGTTTGAAAAATAGGGTTATCATGGGAGCAAACATCGCAGGTATTTACGGCGCCCAGATTTTCCGCAGCGACGATGCCCCAAGGTACCGCCGTGGTTTCGGAATCAACATTGCCGTTCTGACCGTTGGTCTCTCAATGGCCATCCTCCGATTCGTCGACGACAAGTTTTGGCGAAAGCGGGCTCCTGTTGAGGAGATTGAACGCGAAGAGTCTCGATCCGACGATGATCGTGTTCCTAGCGAGAAGGGGGCGATTTCAGCTGAGGACACCAAGGAGATCTCCGATAATGGGAAGCAGCCCCAGCAGCCTCTTGGACCCAAGGTCTTCTGAGTAATCAAACGTTGCTCGGATCGCCAAGTAATTTGAATGGTCTTTATGGTATGCGCTTTTTGGTTCAATCGGTAATTTAATGACAAGCAAGCGATGGAAGGAATAAACTCGGCGCTCTTAAGATGGGTTGATCATTGGATCGCGGGAATTATATCAGGGAATCTAGGAGATTGTGCGGTGGTCGATTTCATAAACACTCGGCTTTGGATAGCTAGTTCAAGACAATCAACATCGTGCTTCCGGTATCTCATTGCCTACCACATTTGTAAACTCACGTCGAGGACTTGTTAGTTGGACTCGAGTGCCACGGCTGTACTTGCGGGAGTGCGAATGAACCCAACAGCGCCACATTCATTGTTTATATGCTAGGCATCCGTCTATCACCCTTAGTAAGAGGCTCAAAGCCGTAGCTTTGCCTCGAGATAGCAAACAACAAATAGAAACTTGAGATGTTATGAAAGATAGACCAAGTGAAACTCTAGGCTCTCTAGGCGTCTGCCTCCATTTCATAAAATCGCAAGCCTCTTAATGGTTCCATTGACGGGGACATCATTTACGGTCTGATAAGATCCCCAGTCTAGTTCCAGAATATCAGCTGCGCCAACATACTCATAACTTTTGCTCTCTCCACCGGTATCCCTTTTTCGCATCATCGCAACGGATCTGAAGCCTTCTAACAAGCTCAGAACCAGCCCACTCTCCGAAGTCCTCTCACCTGAGACTCCAAGCTGTCCGTCTAAGGTACAGAATAGGTCACAGCTCGCTAGAGTTATGCCATGAGGGGCGTTAGCGGAAATATTGTTGTGCTCTCTAAGGCGAGTCCTGAGTTCCTTTTCCATCTCATTACAAAGTAGATGGACCTCGTGGCTGAAAGTGGCTGCGTTATTCGTAGATTGGTCGCGGAATTGCCGTATGGCGTTCTCCAGTTCAATAGGCACTTTTCGGGATGCGTCAGGAATGTGAGGGTCAGTACTTATCCTCCAAGCCAAAAGTTCCTCGGCTGAAGAATATCCCCGGTCCCCTTGGATATCGTCGTTGCCCTGTGATCTATGAAGGAAACGGCAAAATACAGACAAGTAGGAAAGTTTCTCTGGATAGGAACAACTGTCGAAGATGCTTCGTCCTGAGCGAGCAAGACCCTCGGCGAGTGGTCGGACGATGTGATCATAGATATCTTCGCCGGTCCTCATTGTAATGGTGAAGGAAATCTCGCCAAGTATGTATCCGTCCCCATGAAGGGTGGTGTCGGTCGAGCGAAACTGGCTGCCGAGAAGCGAGGGAATCGCTCGCCCGACGGGTTGGCGGAATAGGCAAGGCAAGACCGCACCATCTTCCAGATCTCTATGTCTGGCGCTGATACAAGTCCAGTCTGGAACCCAGGACGGCAGACCTGGGATCCTGTTGGCTGCAGGATAGTTGATGCCCTGCCAGAAGGCGAGCCCTTCCGTAGTGCGAACCATGACCCTGGCCGCGTTGATGTACACTTGTTGGACTGAGAGGCTGTAATCGGGAGCCAGCTGGCCTGACCAGTCGGAGTCTACAACTCCCAATACAGCGAAGACTTTATCTCTTGGATCACCACAGTTGAGATGAGTCAGGATTTGGATAGCAGACCCCATGTCCTTGATTGCTCCCTTGGTAGCCATTTCCTGGGTCCTGGCGATAAGCATCATTATATCTCGCCCCCTTGGCTGCTCGCCGCCGTTAAACACCGCCCACATGGCCATATAATGATGGAAATCTGTCCACGGAGCACAAACGTCTCCGCAGAGAACCGTCCCTTGTACTCCGCCCAAGATAAGCTCCTGATATATCCACGCCCTTGTGAAGTACGAACGGCTCAGAAGGTCAGTCGCACCAGTGGCCGCCTTGCGATCGTAGGCCCCTCCCGCGTCTACCGAGCCAAAGATTCTCTTGCATAGATCGAGAGCTTCGAGCACCTGCTGTACGTCTGATGATAGCGAATAAGTGAAGAATTCTGCCGAGGATAGCTGGTTCCATGCATCCAGGACTCTAGGGATAGATGCAAAAGCTGCTGCGACCTCGGGGCTGTCTTCGCCGAGCCACATCAGCATTTCTTGGGCCTCTTTGTATATCTTGGTCATCAGTCGTACTTGGCTAGTGCGTTCTTCGACATCTTCTTGGTTGATACAAACAGCATCGACCCATAGCGTCCGCACTTTTTGTTGCGATCTGATCTTTCGCAGCGCCGCCTTTAGATTGGGTGTTATCAGAAGACTCCTACCACAGCACAACACGGGGATGGTGCCGGTTTTGGCTTTCCATTCGTATGATAGCGCGGTATATGAGGGCTCATGGTCGAGGTTCGCTTCATAGAGATCAAACGATAGAGCGTCAGATTTCTGCCCTGGATGAAGATCTATGAGGCGAATGCAGCCTGGCTTGGAGAGTGGTACATAAGTATAGCATCCTCGGTTTGGAATATCAGAGGCGACTGATCCAAGACTAGAATCATGACTGACTTGAGATGCATGGCGCAGAACCGAGGCCACGCCTTCATGACCCTGCATCTTGGCCCACGATAGCGCGGTCAAACCATTCTCATCCCTGTGACTAATCTGCGAGACTTCGGCCTCTATCAACATCCTGGCTACCATCTCGTGTCCCGTGGCAGCTGCAAAAAACAGCGGAGTCCTCTTGTGAGCTGTCAAGTGATCAACTTTTGCGCCGTGATTTAGGAGCAGTGCTACCATATCTTCGAAGCCACGTTGGGCGGCTATACAAAGTGGCGATCGATCATCTGTTGACGTTTGCATCGTCGCTCCGGCTTCTAGAAGAAGGTTTACTATCTCCGTATCGCCTTGCTCAACCGCCGTGTTCAACGGAGTTCGACTTGGGTCAGGACCGTATTCAACATCGGCCCCGGACTCGAGAAGGATCTTAACCACGTCGACATGTCGGAAATGCACTGCCAGGCCCAGGGCAGAGTAGCCATGCTTCTCCGTGTGCCCATTGGCGCCTCCTGCGAGGAATAGCTTGAGAACTTTAGCTCGGCCGCGATATGTAGCCGCCATCAATGGTGAGAGCTGCAATACGTCGTCTGTCATGTTCAACTCGGCACCGGCATCAAGGAGGACATTGGCCGCCTCATACCATCCGTTATAAGCCGCCCACCAGATAGCTGTTCTGCCGAGGCCATCCTTGAGGTTCGGGTCAGCGCCATGGTCAAGGAGCGTGCGGACCATGGATACATGTCCATTTACTGCCGCTGTGCCCAATGCGAGGTAGCCTCGTCGGTCCATCTTGCCTGTTGGATGGCCGGCCTGGATGAGGCGCACCACTGCTGCTCTCATGCCTTTCTCTGCCAGTTCCACAAGCTCAGTTCCAAAATCACCCTCGTCAGGACCGCGGCCTTTGGGCTCAGAGGTGGCGCCCGTACCATCAGTAGCGTGAATAATCACATCGTCGCTGGCCTGGTCGACAAGATTGTCTCCTCTGACTTCCGTACCCGGTCCAAGATCTCTAATCCCTAGGATGTTCTTTGTAGAGTGATCAAACCCATCTGCCTCCACTAGGGATGCCGACATGTTAGATAAGTCGAATGCTGATTTTGATCCCTCCTTGTGTGATAACAATGTGCGCATCACGGCATCATTCCCGCTTTCTGCCGCGAACACAAGCGCATTCTTTCCATGACATGTTTTGGTGTCAATATCGGCATCTCTTGCGAGCAGGCTCGACACTGCCTGGAGATGTCCACCCTCCGCAGCCGCAGAGATCGGCGTCTGCCCCAGCTCATCTGCTGAGTTGGGGTCAGCTCCGCTTTCCAGCAGCGTCTGAACCACCATACCGTGGCCGTAATGAGCAGCCAACCAAAGAGAGGTTTCTCCAGAGCTGTTTTTTGCTTCAATTTCAGCACCCAGCTCGATGAGAAGCTTCACAGCAGCATCTTGGCCCGCCTCTGCGGCGAACAACAAGGCTGTGTATCCGTCCCCGTCCATGGAGTTGGCGTTGACCTGCTCCTTTTCAAAAAGGGAAGCAATAGAATCTAGTTTCCCTGATCTTGCAGCCGACATTAAATGATTCAAGCTGTCTCTGCTGGTATCTCGCTCATACCATCCTCGCTCAGCCGCGAGAAGCAGCTCTCCCATATCCTCCAGGTCCTTGCCTTCCAAGGAAAAAGGGCAAATTGACAGCGGAGTGTCCCCATCGACTGACTCTACTGTTGGATCTGCGCCAGAGTCTAAAAGCAGCCTTACTATATGTGGGTGGTTCCTGTTGACGGCCCAGTGCAGTGGTGTCCAACCTGCATAGTCTGCAATGGAGACATCAGCACCATGGTCGAGGAGCAGACGAATAGAGTCCAGCCTTCCAGCACCTGTAGCGATAATGAGGGGTGTTGATCCGTCGAAGCTCGCCGAGTCGACTCCCATGGGAAGCTTCATATTGAGTAGCAACCGGAGGAACGCGAGGTCACCCTTGTAGGCGGCGACATGCAAAACTGTATACCCCTCCCGTGTGATTGTGTCCGATATGCTGGCTCCGGCGTCCAAAAGAACCTCTAGAGTTTCGATATGGCCGAAATGAACGGCATCTAGAACAGCGTTCATCCCATAGTCACCATCAATGTTTCCATCGCCGCCTGTATGCTTTGCATTGACGTCCGCCCCTCTACGGATCAAAGTCCGCACTATCTCGGTTTGTCCAGCGTGCACTGCTGAATGCAGAGCAGTGCACCGCCATTGATCGGTGGCGTGAATGTTGGCACCGTAGTCGAGGAGGAGTTCAACAACGCTTTGGCTTCCACGACGAGAGGCCAGAATAAGAGCTGAAGCCCCATCATCGGAAACGGGACTGTCAATGCCGAAATATCCGTCCTTGAATTTGCAGTCGGCCGCCACATCAAGGATGAGCTTCACTGTATCGAACGAGGACTCGATGACTGCCTTGTGCAGAGGCGTCCAAGCGGTGTTGTTCCTCCAGGGAAGAGAATCGCCTCGTGCGCGAACGAGCATACGAAAGGCATCGCAAGCACCGCCACTGGCAGCGGCGTGAAGTACGGAATTCCCATTTTTATCCACGCTCGCAAGGTCGTCCCCGGCAGCAACCAGGACTTCCAGAACATCGCAGTGATTATCAGAGGCCGCGCTATGCGACGCAGGACGCCCTTCGTCATCGGCCCAAGCTGGGTCAGATCCTGCGGTTAGGAGAAACTCTGCTATCTCGCTGTGGCCCTGCATGGCCGCGCAGTGGAGAGGTGTCACTCCCGCTCTTGCTCTTGCGGCGAGATCTGCCCCTGCTTCCACCAGCACTCTCACCACCTCCAGATGGCCGTAGAAGGCGGCAAGATGCGCGGGCGTGAAGCTCCACTCATCGACTTGTCTCAGGGCGACGTCATTTGGACCGTTTTGAAGAAGAAGGCTCACTTGCTCGAGGAGGCCGCGGCGCGATGCCCAGACGAGCGCTTTTCCCTTATTTTCCTGACTCAAATTCATCTCAATCTGCCCTTGACGCCGCCTTTGGACCGTACTAGGCGTTTTCCCCTTCGATAACAGTTAGCCTGAAAGAATTTACCCAGAAAAAATGGTCTGGTTATGATGCCCTCTCCAATCGTGTTGTTTTGTTGCATTCTTGAGCGGGGTAGGATCAAGGGCTCTGACGAAGCCCTGTCATCCACATGAGTTTTGCTTATGTGAGTTACGACTTCATATCCCCGTATCTGTTCTTTTCTGCCTCTAGATCCCCCCACCCGTATTGCGATATTGTGGTGATGCGATGTTTTTCGTTCATATCATCATAGCTGTTCTTTGGAGATAAGCTCCCCTCATCTCATGTTACGTCTGCCTCATGCGCCTTTCCGGATCGACTCTAGTGGATGAGACTGTGAGGCAGGTTGGTACGCGAACCAGATCGTCTGATAGAGGAGAAGAGTGCTGCCTAGATTCCAAGCACTGATTTTTTTCCTTCCCTGAAACGATTGGCAGGCGTTGACTCTGCTGCGGTCAGGTCTAGGCCACATTTGCTCCTATTTCCCTTCATTCCGTCGCAGCTGACACCGGCGAACAGGGCCGAATACGAAGTTAAAATCTTTCTTATGGCCCTGATTCGTTTACTTCTCCTGTGTAACGGGTTTCCTAGCGTCGTGGCTCAGATTGTCTGCGTCTGTGCTGCTCCACGTGAGAGCTCCCGGATGCCACCAGGACATGATTTAAGTTTCCACATAAGTGTAGTGTAATATGTTTGAGATAAGCCACAGGGATTTCAGGGCTAAAGCTTTACCTGTATACCGCCAAATTCTGCTGTCTTTGATACAAGTATCTAGGAGTTTATGCGGGATGATGGCCCTGTCTCCGATATGATCCGTGGCTCATCGCCTTGTGGGTGAAACCGATCTGGTCACTAGTCCGAAATCAAGAGTACAGTCACCATTGTGAGCCTAATTAAGTGCCATCTGCTTGTAGGGAAGTACATTCACCAAGCCTCGTATCTGGACAGTTGCGCAATTGTGAGTCTGTCACACAATGGTGACTTGACCCACCCAGGTGTGTTTCATAGTGAGAAAAAGTGAACAGTGAAGTCATCGCCACATTTGGGGCCAGAAAGAAATGTCCTTAGAAACCACTCGCTAGGCTTCTTCCATAGCGCGATTTCTCAAGTATAAATATACAGTGCCCTCCTCTCCCTTTATCTCGACATTCAACATCATTATCATCATCACTCCTCAGCTCACACTGATCAAGTCTTCACAACAACTCTCACCTTCGCGACTTACACCACTACTAAATCTACCAACTTATCATCTACTACATTTTCGCAAAAATGTCCAACCCCAACGGCGGCCAAACCAACACCGGTACCCGTGATACCGTGTACACCGTCAAAGCCGACCAGACCATCAAGGACTTTGAAGCCAAGTTCAACTCCAAGTGAGGACCTTGAACTGGAATGGGAGCATCTTCTTGGGAGTCGAGGCGCTCCGATTATTTCCGCCAAGCACAGAGTCCCCATACGTTATGTTCCATCTGGCCTCCGATATTAGCAGCTCATAAACCGGCAGCTGTTGTTTCAGGTGGATTGCTTAAAGGTCCCCGGATAGTTTAGCAATACATCCACCGTTCTCATAAGATCTACATGCTCGATACAGTGAATTATACCGTCACCGCGAGGCTGACTTGTGACACAAGAGCGACCAATGTAATTTCAGACAGAGTGCCTAATGTAAATAAAAGCGACCAACGCAATACATTATTGAAGTCTAATTTTTAGTATTTCTGACGTTGGTTTTGCGCCACCCGTTCACGTGCCATGATGTGCTGCGCAGGGACGCGGGTGTGTGCCAAGGCATGATGGAACGGTTTCGCCCCTGGCGAATGAGAAAACAAAGAAATGGCCATAGTAAAATGCTGATTAAAGTCAGGCTGACAGGCCTGGGTCAGGTGAATGCCAAGAATATACCATGCTACCATCCTTCCCCATTTGCTTTCGGTTCAATTTGCGGTAAATCGGCGATTACATCGGCCTTAGCAATCGTAGGAAGATAACGCAAGAAGGCAAAAAGAATTTTAAATTTTTTTTCTTACAAAAAAACAAAGATATATATGTGTTCTGTGAGAGATTGTGTATGGAAATCATGCCATGAGCTGCAATGCCAAACTGCTCTCTTTCACGTTATCAAGATTATGCTAAGTGCGATGTTTAGTTGATACTCAGTATTTATTGTCATCTATGATAGGAAGTCAACTCTGGGACTTTTATTACTGAAATAACAGTAATCATGCGTCTCTATCGACAAATTATTTAGTAAAATGCGTAACATGACATAGGCGCAAATTTACCCTGAGTAGTCCGTGGCGTTTAGGTGTAGGGTAGACACGCTCTTGTTCTATGTAAGTAGGAGCCTTTTATGATCCACTTACAACACCGATGGGTAGGCGTTATTGTCTTACCAACAGCATGTTGCATGACGCAGTCAGCGGTTACTTGCGCGAGTCGTGTCCGCCTTACCATTGCTACGTAATGGTCTAGTATAAGGGAGCAATCGAAGATTTCTTGGTATCGTGTACGTAAGAACTAGAATATGGATGTCCTCTACTCCCGATCTACCAAATAGTAAGTATAAGCCTGAGTCACTGTATTCTGTTCCCTAATTCGTCTACATTTGACTTCAAGACCAATAAAACCATTCGCATCATGTATAAAAATAAGCACTAGTATCTTCAATGGCGTAAATTTAGTAAGTATCTCGTTCAGCTTAATCACCTGAGAGGTATAGCTCTGATCTACAAGCTATCTCTTATAGCTACAAAGATCATCCACAGACGAGGAAGCCAGTCCTCTTTATTACTGAATGCCTCCGTGATAAGATAAGTTCCTAAAATTCGTGATGTAGTTTCTGAGTTTGTGATTAGAAACGCGCTTCAGTCAGTCGTACCAGGGGCGGTAATAGATTTAGACCTCAGATATCGATACCCGTTGGAGAACGCGGCAAGGGATAGCCAAATTAGAAGACTGCTTCCGAAGTGGGGAGCCTCCGTGGTGAGATGAGGATCTATTAATAGCCCTGCCGAGGGTGATGCCTTAGATCGTCTTGAACCCCCCCGAGCCACTTTGAACAGTACTTTCTTGTTGATGGAGAGGTGCCGATTGGTTATCTTTGCATGCTGGTGCAGGAAAGTAATGAGCTCGAGGCTTACAAGAACAGAATAGACGGCTGGCTTCAATGGTCACCCATGTATTCCGATCGCGAGGGAGACGCTTAGCGGAGTTAGGGTGATATCGCTCATTGAACATGTTGGCTTTGATATATCTGGGAAAGACGCGAAAACGATTGTGATGTGAGTTGGCCGGCTGGTGAGAGATTGAAGCTATCATTAGACCACACAGTTCACCAGTGCAGGGGCTGAGACCTGGTCCTGGTCGACTTGCTAGTCGAGGGCACCCAAATAAGTTGATGACACCCGGCTGGAGCCGGGAATGAGCCAGCGGGGCCGTTCACGACAGCGAACACCGCGCCTGAATGGACGAGGAGCTGCTACTCCATGCCCAGGCGAAATGAAGCAGTACCCCAACCAGAGAAAGTTATATAACCGAGCTCAAGACTCCCTTTGAATATTGGATCATCAGGCTCAACACTGCCTTCTAATTTCCTTCATCTTTTCCTTTGTCTTTTCCTTTGTCTGCTTATTTGTTTGCTTTCCTATGTTATTTCCTATATCTGCTTGATCTTGTTTTCTTTTCCTATTTCCTATTATTTCCTACTGTTTTCTTTTGTTTCTTTTCTCTTCTCTTTTTTGTTCCTGTTTCTTCCCCTTTTCTTTTTGTCAGACATTTCTTCCCGGGGAGCTTGGGAAGCCAACCATCGGATCTGCTGGCTAATGAGCCAATGATCATGGCAAGCAACACCTGCCATCGCTTGCATAGCTGGTCCTTTGAGCATGCTGGAGTACAACTACCTGCCAACCCGCCTTCATCAATATCAACAATGCCGTGACTCGGAAACCAAAACCGAGAGGAGCGCGAGCCGCACCCTCGTGAGGTGACCTATTCCTGATAGGTCTCCACCCGATGTCCCGGAGCACCTAGCAAACTACACTTTGGAATTATTCCGGCTGGGCCGATGAAATTATCAGATTCTTTTTACCGGCTGGGCCGACGGGGCTTTCAACCAGATCATACCGGCTGGGCCGAAGGGACTATTAAACACATTATACCGGCTGGGCCGATGAGGCTTTCAATCAACTTATACCGGCTGGGCCGAAGGGGCTATCGAACAAACGATCCCGGCTGGGCTGATGAGGTTTCAACCAGATCATACCGGCTGGGCCGAAGGAGTTGGAAAAAAAAACCACCGAATCAGCCTCGCTCTCTAGAGGAGAGGCGAGTTATTCGCTCGCCCTGGGTCTGGCATCGACGACAACAGATCTGAGCTAGAATATTCTATCTGAAATACGATAGATATGTGGCAATGCTTTGTTGGCGAGGAGCCATCACGGCCATAACAGCTAGTTTCAACCGGATGCAACTCCAGTTCATCCGAATGTCGCGAAAACAAGGCCATAGACGGCTTATAGTGCCGAGTCAAAACCATTTTGTGGCCTACGATCAAGCAATCGGCCTAACAACACTAGTAAAGGTCTGATCGAAACTTTCATCCCATCCGAATTCCCCTTCTCCTTGATCATTTCGCTATGATTGAGGATTTTCTTCTTCTCTTTTCGCGTCTTCTTCTTTCTTCTTTTCTTCTCTTTTTTCTTTCCTCTTCTTATTCCCTCTTCTTCTGTTCTTTTCTTATTTTTATCTTACTTCTTTTCTTTTCATTTCAGCATATGGGACTGGTTCCCTTGGTGGTGGCACTCGTGTGATCCGGCCAGCCAAAGCATTTCATTGTTCAGAACGGGTTATGGATACTCATGGTGTGGAGTTTGGGTTGGAAGATGCCTTGGAACAACTATACCGGTCTAATCTAGAGTCCGTCTTGAACTACTACTTTGTTAATTGATTTTCACTTCTTTCTCCGTTCAACTCATGTTTCCGCACAAAAACTAAGTCGTGAAGATCTCCTTATATCTGTGAATGTTGCATATAAACACTTGCCGCACTGGGGTTTGAAGTCGTAGACAAAAAAAACTGGAAATTAAATGCAATTGCTTCAAAAGTTGACTCTTTCCACCGTCTCGCGACGCAGGGTTTCAGCATCTGCTAGGAGAAGGAAACCATCTTGGATCTGCCTTCGGAGGGCCTCCCCGGCGATACGACGATAATCAGAGACAGACCCATAAACCTCCAGCAGCTGCTCGTTGCTAAATGGCCATTCGGACCCTTCAGAAGATTTTAGTACGTGTCAACTATACCATGGTGGCAATGTGCTGTTGACTTACCGCAATACCAATTCGGTCGCCCCTTGGGTGTGGCGGCAACCAACCTTGACAGAGGAGCGTCCGTGTGTAAAGTGCGTACACCGGCAAGGGCATTTCCATGACTATCGCGAATGATCTCATCCGTATCACCAACAGTTGTGAGCATCCTGCTGGTAGGCGGAAGGGCGAGCCCTCTGACCCATTTCTCCATTGCTTGGAAGACAGCGTGATAGATGAATGAGTTTGCAAACGAGCTCCATTTGGCACCGCGTAGATCGGCGGCAGAAAGTCTCTCTATGTCGATGGCAGAGGCGTACCTACTCTCGCGATGAGCCATGCCTGCCACTTCATAGAGTCGGAATCCCTCGCTGTCTGGCCGTCGGTGAGAAGTCTCATACATTTGGCCGCTCACTCCGCATGGTAGCCGGACAGATTGGAATTCCGATTCGCCCAAGAGCTCAATAATCTTGACCCCTGGCGTATCAGGGAGGGCAGGACCCCCGGATTGGCAGGGAATAAACCCTTCAAAGGGCAGCGACCCATCGGGGAGCCTCAAGCTTGAAGACTGGGAAATGAATCGACGTGTGACTCCCCCTGTCTGAGACAGCCCGCTGAGAATGACTTTATCGGCCTTGAGTCCTAGCTGACCAGATCGAAGAGCGTGAGATGCTGCGCAGAGAATCTCTGGAGACTGTAATGTAGCCGGCCACCATTTAGCCTTGAAAGAGGCATACGCATCTCGAAGGGACTCCTTCGTAACATTGGTTACGAATGGAATATTGTCAGCAAATTCATCAGAAAGGGGTCCTGGAATAAAGTGCATATCCTTGTATCTCTCAGGATCGACGGCTTTAATCTTGCCAAGGGCTGATGGAGCCTGGGAATCCACCTCTAGCCAGGCGTGACCTATCATGACATTGTGAGAATTTATTCATAAATTATGCGAAGAAAACAACTGAGGAGTCTTACCATTACGCATTAGCCATCTGTTGATATGGCGCCATATACTTGTGCCTCCCCAGAGATGCGAGGGCTCTTCAACGACAAAGCCGGAGAAGTTGTTCTCGTCGGCGGGGCACCGAAGGAGCAGACGTGTGCAATATGACTCCCCGGCCGCAGTACTGCTAATCATGTATTCGCGGCTTACATATCCATATTCCGGGAGTAAATTGACATGGTATGGTTCCAGGAGTACGGAACGGGAGACTTCGGTTTCTGGCAGCTCAGATACCACTGGCATGGAGACATGCTGAGGAGTATTGGACTTTCCAACCGCCATCTTGATTGGAGCGATTGTAGGGCTTTTTGGTATTCAATTCAAACCTAAAATTCAACTACCAGCTCCCTCTCAACATATTTATGCTGTGGTGCCCGAGACTGAACACAACCCAATCCCTAGCCGACAAGGTCACGTGATCTGTCTCACCGACAGTGTCGGCTCGATAGACCCGGCTCGATCGAAATAGATGGCCCATGACTAGCCATAGTCGCTTATGTTCTTTGTACGTACAAAAGCAAGCCAGTTGGCCTCGATTGATACTGGTAGAAGGCTCTGAAAGTGTGCTCGCCTCTCCTATACCCCTTTCATCACATTCAACTCCACACTCCGACGCACTCGACCTGACGACTATGAATACTGACAAGAGCAAAGCCGAGGACGGGCTTCCCGGGGACGCGAAAATGAGTATGCATAGCGAGCACAACGAGCATGTCAGGCTTGGCTCTGACCTCAAGGTTACGCATGAAGAAGCGATTATACAATCCGAGCCAACAGCAACAGCAGAAGAGAATAAACGAGTGAAGAGGAAGATTGACTTCATTCTCTTACCGCTCATGTGTGGTTGCTATATCTTCTCTGTGAGCGCCGCGACCCTTTCAAGCATCATGGCAGCTAATCAAGGTCGTGAAAGTTCTTGGACAAGACCATGCTTAACTATGCCTCAATTTTCGGATTGAAGACAGCATTGAAGCTGAAAGGAAACGACTATAGCTGGCTTGGCAGGTTAGTAGTTTATATTCTAAGCTTTGAACTATGTATTCACTGCTCGGCAGCATATTTTACCTTGGATACATGGGTGGTGCTATGTTCTGGCCCACTCTTGTGCAGAGATATCCTCAGCATGTTGGAAAGCTCATATCTGGGGCCGTCTTCAGCTGGGCTGTTATGTCTCTACTCACGCGTATGTTTTTATCCTGATGCTCCACCCTCGAAGAAAAACTTATGACAAGAATGTTAGCCCTCTGTTTCAACTTTGCTGGCATAATGGTAGTGCGATTCTTCCTTGGATTTCTTGAAAGTATCAACGGCCCAGTTTTTGTTATTATAACAAGCAATTGGTGGACTCGATCTGAACAAGCGTTCCGAACCGCATTCTGGTTGGGCGGTACCCCTGTAAGTGAAGCATCCTCATTGCTCTGTTGGTTTTGGCCGATTGTAACTTACTTGCGTCTAGATTGGCAACTTCATTGGTGGGCTTCTGACGTACGCCTTAGGCTCGAGTAAGTCTATTCACCTTGTGATTAACTAGGAGCAAAGCTCATCGTTTTAGTTCATGGGAATATCGAGACATGGAAGATCTTCTTCCTTTTCTTTGGAGGCTTAACCTTAGTATTCTCCATTGTCCTCATGTTTCTGATGCCCGATACTCAAGCCAACGCCAAATGGCTCAGCAAGGAGCAGAGAGTAATTGCACACGAAAGAGTCAGGGAGAACCAGACCGTCTCAGAGAAGAACCAGTGGCAGTGGCCACAATTTTGGGAAGCTTTACGGGATCCCCAAACGATACTATTCTTTATCACCGCTATGTAGGTTTCGTTCATAGGGCCCCGCATCGGAAGGGCGAATTAGCTAACATTGTTGAACAGCGGTAACACCATGCCATCGACGTTTGCGAGCCAGGTAAACAGTCCAGGGTTCCCATGTACCGGCAGCCATTGCCTAACATCTTCCACTTGTAGTTTTCCAGTCAGATTGTCAACGGTTTCGGTTTTTCACCCACGGCGACTACAATAATCTCTACCTGCCCGGCAGCAACGATTCAACTACTTACTTTCCTTTCTTTCTCCTATATCGCGTCTCGATTCAATAATATACGCCTCGTCCTTGGACTGATTGCTTCGATCCCGCCATTAATAGGCGCATCACTTCTCCATGTCTTGCCAATTTCGCATCAGGCAGGGCGCTTAGCGGGCTACTACCTTACATACACGTAGGCACACATGTACTCACTGTACCCATCTCCCTCCATGCTAACAAGACATTAATCCAGGCACACCATGTCGTTCACTCTTGCCACCGGTCTAATGGCGTCCAACTATGCCGGTAGCACCAAAAAGGCAACAGCTTCTGGGTTCGTTTTTGCTGGCTGGGCCGCTGGGCTCATAGCAGGCCCTCGTAAGTCGCACGGACTTTTGCAAAATTATGGATTGTGTTTGGCTAATACAAGTGCAGAATTCTTCCTCGAGAGTGAAGCACCCAACTACAAGACCGCGTTTGAAATGCTGAGTATGTCCCATGTACTTAGTCATATGCGATGCCTTTGGGATACTAATCGTTTGTTTGAATCTAGTGGTGACTTATGCTTTGATGATTGTTATTCCCATTATTCAAATCTGCTGGTATAGATACGAGAACCGGCGTCGTGACAGGCTTCTCAGTGCTAGAGCCGACGGCGAGCAGCCGGCCCGCATCGGATTTACGGACAAGTCGGACTTCGAGCAGTGGGAGACGTTCAGGTATACCATGTGAGCCCGCTGCAAGGGGATGAGGAACTAGCATTAGCTACACATCGCGATAGTGTTGACTTGAAAATATTGTAATTGCGAATCGAGGAAAATACGCGTCATTAAATAATAAATCGTTCAGTGATTTGGGACATGGCGTCGTAAACGCTCACAAAGGCACCCTCGGATTGCATCCTTGCTATTGCTTCGAGGAGCTTGCGCGCTTTCTGAATATACAGCCCCCATCTCTCGCCCTTTTTGAGTATCTTGACGACCCAGTCACGGTGAATTGGGTCTGTCGTGAGTAGCCCGGCCACAAATAAAGACGACGGCAAGATTGAAGATGGTGATGCGGCGCGAGAAACGTCTTGATCGACCTTGAGCTGGTAACGGAGGATCGTTGAGATTGAAGTATCTTGGTGACACATTGATAAGGGCTATGTGGACTCAGCACTGTGTGTTTGATGATCGGGTTAGATATTTTACTCACAAAAATATGATGGAGATATAATAGCGAGGAATGAAGAGCGGTGAAAACTGCATAAGATCCGTAGGTTGTCGAATCAAGGGAGTCATTGCCTGTATTCACATCACCAAGCCCCCTATTTCGGCTCGTGTCACGAATATGGCGCTCCCAGCGCTGAATCTCGTTCTGGATATCCGAATATAGATTTCGGACGACTTCGGTGCGCATTGGAGTGGATGTTATGAACTCGCTTTGTATTTGTTGGTGGAGTTGCAAGTCGATTTCAGCCACTCTCGTCCGGAAGATGTCTGCTCGGAGCAAATTGACCACCGCGCCGAGCGAGGGGGCATCAGTTGAGCCAGAGCTGAAAAGAAATGAGAAGGAAGGAACCTTTCTCAGTGCTTTGATCAATTTACCACCGCCTAACCGATAGCAAGAGGCGCGGGCATCTAGAATGGCGATACGTACGATGATGCGCCAAGCTAAAGCAGAAGTGTCCCCCAAAGCCCGTAAGCCATGCACAGACGTGAGGATATCGATTGCTTCGTCAATTAGCTTTAGAAAAGCTTCGACGCTGCCGCCCATGACGTGGATCATCTTGATGCGCACAAATAGGGCGGAAAGCAAACTGTCCACCTCTGTTTCGTGTGTTGACTTAAACTGCCGGAACGACTCTGCGGCTAGGCGGTCGAATTTGGCGGCCTGCTCTCGGTGGGAATCGTCTTCCATCGAAATATGAGAAGCCGAGAACGCAAGAATGGCATAGAATAGTGGTGGGAATGAGAGGGAGCGAGAGAAGGCGGAGATGAAGAGGTTGTTGGTCTCCTTTGACCGTTCATCTACTTTCGAGTATCCTTTTATGACTTCGAGATAATGCTGGATCAAATGGCGGTTCCGGTCTGTGACAGAAGCAGATAAATCGTCTTGGTCTCTGAGCGTGGAAGTATTGGGATTGTCTTCCAACTGCTGTGCCATTTCGGAAATATCTAAGGGCGACGGCCATTGCATGGATGCTTCGTCGTAGATGGACTCAGCCCAGAGGGACGTATCCACGGCAGGCAAGGGGATAAAATCGAGGCCTTCCCCTGCTAGGTTCAAGTCCAGAAACCCAGAGTCGAGGGTGAAGTCGGGATCAAAGAAGTTCTCCTCAGCCCTCATGCTTTGATTGTCCTCAGCTGGTTGCTCTGACAGCAGGGCCTTGGGACTCTCGGCGACTTCCGCAGACCGGATCGCATCTCCTTCATGGACAGCGAGTGCCCCGTCATCTAGGACAGATGTAGATGCGCTTGCTTCTACCTCATTCCTGTCGCCACGGACTCTGCGTCCAGTAGTTCGCCGACGTTTGGGTGGCGGATCATATTGTTCCCCCGGCGGAGGAGGTCGCCATCGACACTGGAATCCAAGCCTCTGACAGTTGGCACAGTCGCCCGGCTCTTCGTTATTGTTCCCAGCAGGTGATTGCCTGACTGCCTGGCACCGGACTTTGCGAAATCTGCACGTGTAGCAGCCGGTTCGCGATCGCCTGTGGGCTGGCTGCCGAGCCATCTCCCCGGTTGACATGATGAGATGGACAAAAGTGAATGACGAGGAGAGATTAGAACGAGCTTCAGTGGAAGTAGCGGGGTTTTGAAGAGATTCTGGGGCTTACGGAGAGGATTAGGCCCCTAATCGCTTATGGAAACCCCTATCTCGGTTATAATTCTCACTAATCCTCCAGGCAGGGGACAAATGCTGACTGCAAGATGCTGACGGGCTTACCTACAGTGGCATGTTATTGGCGTAGGATGCTATAATCAGATCATTTACAATATCCATCAGTAGAATGCTTCAATGAATCTTATCAGATACTTTCGAGGGACTGTCGAGGGTTCAATTGATCATTTGGACACCCACAATGCCCAATTTGGGGAAGAAGAAATCGAGGTCAACAGATAATAACGATAAAAACAGCATATCATAACGGTTAAACTAGTGTTTTTCTAAAGAAAATAGAAACACCTCGTTCTATTGGGATCTACTCTATACTCATCTACTCTACCGTGACCGACACAAGCCGGTCATCTTGACACCATGGCGTCTCTCAAAGCGACTAAGAGAACTGGCGTATCCGAAAGAAACGATCTATCTAATGGAAAAATTTTAATGACGCTCGAACTGCCATAGGGTGAGTGCACCGATTGCTTGTTCCTGAGCAGTGGATTGTCAATACTACTGGCATAATGCACGCCACCCTAGTAGACAGTCGACTAAGCGTCCTCAGTGATGACACGGAAAGCCTTCTGGCCGATCAAAAATGTAGAACCCACGGGGAATCCTCCAGGGGCACGGGGGAAGACAGAACCGTCGACGACTCTGAGACCCTCAACACCATGGACCTTGAAGTTGGAGTCAACGCACGAGTCGGTCTTGTCGCGGCCAATACGGCAGCTTCCAAGGGCGTGGTGACTAAAAGTGTGGTCCAGAATGTGCTGGCTCAAAGAGCGGTCAGAGGGAGGGTCGATGAAAGTGAAAGGCGCGTATGGCTCGTCCATCGCATTCATGATGGAGGTGACATGCTCCAGGCCCTCAGAGAGAGCTGTGAGATCAATCTCACGGCCCTGTTCGAAGAAGTTGAAGTCGATCTGGGGAACTTCACGAGGGTCGGATGAGCGAAGACGAACGGTGCCGGCGGGGTTGTGGTTCTGCATCTTGGCAACAACCCAGAAGAAGCTGGTAGGAGGTCGCTGGGTTGTGCTGTATCCTGGGTAATGGCCGTCAAAGACGCCGCCGCCGCCGCCGAAAATAATCAGATCAGTGTCATTGTTTTCACTTTGGCTAGAACGGTAGAGCATGAAGATAGACGAAGCAGCTTCGCCATAAGGACCATAACCTTCGATCCACTGGGCGAGGCAAGGGTCAGTTTCGGGGTTGCCCGAGGATGTGCAGTTGGCAGCTGGGTTGTTCTCCCAGGGGATCTGCGACTGGACGCTGATGCCAATCTCATAGTTGTCTTGCAGGTACTCGCCCTATAGGCTTGATGTTAGTTTAAAAAGTCAAAAATTTGGGTTGAAAGAGATGGTGCTTACCACGGCGGGGAGGTCGACGACAGTAGGAATACCGTGGCTTTCAAGCTCCTCGCGGGGACCGAGACCACTGAGCTTCAGAATCTGGGGAGTGTTGAAGGCTCCTCCGGCAACAATGACCTCCTTTCTAGCCTTTACGAACTTCTTCTCTCCACTGACGCTAGCATCATAGCGGCGGTCAGCTTCATAAAGACCCTCACCAGCAAGGTACTCGACTCCCACAGCCTTGATCGTGCCATTAGAGCTCTTGGATGTGACTACCTTGGTGGCAAGACTGTGGGTGCTCAAAGTGAGAGGATAGAGAGCAGACCCGTTGGCAGACTTGGCAGCAAGTGTTTCACTGATGTAGTTCCATGGGCTGCTTCGGCGGCGCTTATCATCGACGTGGACTGGGACCTGGTAGACGCCCTCCTGCTCGTACTTGTCAAGATCAGGTCGGTTGAGGTCACGTTCCAGACGTTGAATCACGTCCTCTCGGTCAGGAAGATCGATGTTTTCAGTTTGAGACATGGCGTTCTGCACAACATTGAAGATGCCTGGACGGTCAACAAGATAAGAAATGTTGTTCCTGTTGGTCTGTAATGAAGTTAGTATGTATTCGGGAGTCGAAATCCATGACAGAGGCTCTCACAGCGATGTATCCATCGTAGCCGTGGCCATCGGTGCCGGGCGGAGTGTAAGTGTTGCGCTCGAATTCTTCGTAGTACTGGATGAGATTCTCACCCCTCCAGGAATCGTCTCCGGTGGCGCGGGCGATGTAGTCAAAGTCGTCTGGAGGAGGAAGCACGACGTTCATCGCATTCGAGATGGCTGAACCTCCAACGGTGGCTCCTCGAGGGTAATAAATGCCAAGTCTGCTAATGGTTAGATTCTATGATAGCCTGTTGCAGAAAGTTTAGGTGTGTGCTTACGGCGTTGCGCCCTCAGGGGGGTTGAGACCGTAGTAGAGCGTACCGTTGGCGAGGCGGTAGCTGAAATAACGATCGCGGCGGGCCTGAGTCTCGTTCTGATAGTGAGAGACAAAGAACTGCCAGGACATTTCGGGGTGCTCCGCGTTTGCATTGTACCTAAGCATCCAAGTTAGATCGACATTGAAAATGCTCTTCTTTTCCCGTTCTGGTCTCGTAGATGACTTACAACCTGGGGACTTGTTGCAAGAGTTCGTCTCCGCGGTTGCCGCCAGCTTCGATCAAGAAGACTGAATGTCCCTCACGGGCCAAGTTCGCGCTGCGTTCTGTCAGTATGATTCTCCTTGGAACAACTGCGAGGAAGGGACGCACGCAAGAGGGCCACCACCAGGGCCAGAGCCAATGACGACATAGTCGTACTCGGCCGTGGCTGTCGCCTTGGCAGCGAGGCCTCCCAGGACGAGAAGACCAGTGTTGATGACTGTCTTCATCACGAAAGCGAGAATGGGGGAAAGTATATCACAAAAGGTATTATAGTATTGCAATGAGTTGATGAAGCTGATGAGGATTGATGGAAAGAAGAGACATTCCAATGCCCTTATATAACGGTTTCTGGGTTTGTTCCCATGAACTATAATGGATCCTCGACAGCTTCATTTTCCCTCCTTCCCCCACCGAGGTGGCTGACGAGTGACGACGCATGGACACATCTCAGGGTTTGGGTTTGCAAAGAGGCCTCAAGCATAGAACATTCGGTGCTTCCTCTGCGGACGATGTAGCGATAAATCCGAAGTTGTCGCAAAGCGCGAGAGTGTCAACGACGGCGGTCACACAATCGCCGCTCGCGCGACTCGTGCTCGCGATTAGGGACACCCTTAAAGCCGGGGCTTTGCTGGCGGGCCGCGTCAAAGTGATCATAGTTCCAGTTAGCGTTTACGGATCAGCAACCCTGTGCTCGTGCTTATTTCTAAGCTTATTCTCCATACTTGCTTTCCTGCCCATGAGAGTATCCCTGCATCTTGGCGTCACATCTCCCAGGCGGTGGACTGACAAGCACCATATGGGTAAAGCCAAAAGAACTCTATGAAATTCCAAGAGCATGAAAAGGTTGCAATGGCTTAGTGGTATCTTCCGCGGAACGGGAAGTGGAAAATCAGTACTCGCCCAGCTATCAGTGACACTTTCGGCCGCGGAGCAAGTTTCACAAAACCCCGACTCCAGTTGGTTTGAAAGCTGTACCGTAAGCCGTTTCAACGAGTAGACGACCCACGGATTTATTGGTTCATGTCATGGGTCATTAGCCGACGTCACCAAAACTGGAACTGATCAGGCAATTTCTGTACTTGTGCTTACGGCCCTCCGCTCATCAGTGCCGGTCAAAACGGCACTTGTACAATTATGTAAAATTAAAATGAACTGCCGTTCTTGATCGATGGAAGTTTATAACCAAACGTATCAATTCCGGTCAATTTCGTTACGCTGCTGAATGGGATGCTGTAGTCAGAAAAGGGGGTGATGGGGGAGTTCTACCTAAGTAGTAAAAAAGGAACCCGGACAAGGGGAGACTTGCTCTGGGCATCGAGCCTTAGTAAAGAAACTTATTCTAGGTGCCATTCTGTTTGGTTCTATATCAGGCTAGCTATGCAAACTAGGCAAATGCTAGTGAACACTCCAGAAACCCCCGAAATTTGATTCCTTTTCCGTTCATGCTCGCTGCTGCCTACGGGCAAGTCAATAGATATTATTCCTTCATCAAAGGGGGAGATAATCACTATTCTGGAAGTAGCAAGCTGGTTCTGAATATCACATCATTTTACGATGCATAAATGTGACCTCAAATGCATTATCGTGATTGCAAGTCGTGGCTCAGCTGACTTCACGTGATTGCATCACTGAAACAGATGTAATTAACCAGCCAAGAAGTCGCGCCAGTGAGCAAAACGAATTTGAACAAATTGAAAGCAACATTGACGAGGAGAGAGAGATGGGGCCAGCATCTCTGCTGCCATCTCATATTTTGGTGCGTATATCAGGAGCAAGTATAGGTCATCTGATATGCTACTCTGGAGCATGTCGGCGAGAGTGTTGAAATAAAAACGATGACGTTTCCTCATGCCGATCTAAGTTCAAACGGATTACACAGAGTTAGTGCACTTCTCCCCTTCAAGCACTCATTTCCGAGCACCAGGAGTTGCTTGATAAGGGAAAACCTCATCACATGGACATAAGAAAGACTGCGCCACGCTGACTGGAGGGGGAAACGCGACCCCGCATCTTGGCCTCCTGAATCGCTGATGTTTGTGTTCTCTAGAATGTCCTCTCATTCATAAAGTGATGTTCTTCTTCCTATAAATGAGACTCAGATAAACTATGCGGTATCAACAGGAGCCTCGACTATCACATTGCGGATGGTGCATGTGGACGTCTCATATGACTCATCAAAGATTTGCCCAAGCCATGCCATTGCTCTTGGCTTCCCATTTTCAATCTCAGATACATGGTTTCCCAACGTGTTCCTTTCAAACAGAATATGGGCGCCATCCTCGCGCCATTTGCTTACTACATCGTCGACCTTGTCTACTGGACAAACCTGATCGCCAATCGCGTGGTAGATGAACATGGGCATGGTCGGTGTTGACCGGGCGCCGATTTTCATTTGCGTCTCGTACAACTCCACCAGAATTGGGGCATATACATCCTTCTTCCCGTCTTTGAAAAAAGCGTAAATATCCCTGCCGCTGAAATGCAGCACAGATTTCGAGGCTTCGGTCTGTAGAACCGAAAGGAACTCCTCTCTTGTCTCCGGTACCAGACAGCTTTTCAAATATGCCCTGGCTTCTGGGAATTGAGCCGTGATGCCCAGCAAAATCGCAATTATGCTTCCAGCAATAGGGCCTTCATTCAGGCGATCAAAGCTGCCGGCCAGATCATTGGCCATGCCGCCCAAAATTGCGCCATCCAATTTGAGTTCCGGTGCGTAAGTCGGCTGCATTTCTGCTGCAGCAGCAGTAGCCGTGGTACCGCCACTGTATCCCCATATAACAATGCTCATCTCTGCTCCGCCGGTTAAACGTGCCAGGTTTTGAACAGATCGGATAGAGTCGAGGGTTGCATGGCCAGCCTGAGCCGTCGCACCAAATGCAGCCATGGGGCCTGCAAAATCAGGCGTGTTGACGATCCAACCCTGAGAGAGCAATTGGTCTAGGAAAGACGTGCTTGATTTCAGGCCCAGATGCTTGTTCTTCTCGGCCAGCTTGCCATACAGAGCAAAAGAAGGGCTGGAGTCTGGATTGGCCGAGTTGTAGGCAAATTGATAAGAGACCATAACCGCCTTCCCTGAAGGTGAGAAGTAGAAAGATGAAGGGATGAGCAAAGTGGTCACGGCCCAGGATGGCCGACCTGCCGAATCAGTCGTGCGATATAGAATGTTGTAAGCAGTGCCTAGGGAGTTCCCAATGATCGCAGTGAGATTGCCCGGAGCTTGACGTATCTTGAGGATTTCTCCAACTCGTTTCGTGTCGAAGTCCGGCGGTGCCTTGTACCAAGGATCCTCTGTTGGTGGTAGCGGCTGGATATCCTCCCTAATCGACTCGCCAGACGTTGGCCCATTCGCCACTTGCTGGCCGACTGGGAGACCGAAGAGCCAGTTCCATGTGACCATCGTTTTGTCGTCAAATGTGGCTTCTTGGTTCACCTCGTTGAGATAACTTGTTCTGTTACGATCGGCAAAACGCTTCACCTACACAACCCGCTTGTTAAGGGATAGATTTCGTTGAAGTTGAAACTACCTCTCATATCTGACATGCTGACGTCAAGATGAGTGAAAAACAATGATGACTGCGTAAACACGTGTACTGCAGGCTGACTAACCCTGGTGCAACGTATGGGAAACAGATTGGATGCAGGATTAAACCAATTGGGTGCAGGATTAATGCCAAAGAGTTATTGTTCGTGCGACGAATGAGTCATATATTTTATTTTTATTTCAAGATCGAGGACAATGGTGCTACTGCTTGTGGACGGTCGAGACTGGGCTTTTCACTGACTTGGCTCATCGGCCTTCGAAGCTGTCGACAGTCAACATTCCCTGAGGCTTTGCGCCTGCGGGTGCTAGTACGATCCCTTATTAAATCAGCTTATTGCTATTTTAGTAGATGTCAAGAGATAATCTTGTCGATTGTTTTATGAGATATAAGTAGGTAGGTATTTATGAAATAGAGTTGTGATGGTTTTGGTTCCGGGTAAGTTGGTTCCATAGTCTGGAACAAGGATGCCGCCTGTTGTGAAAGAGATTCAATACCAGTAGCTGGCGAATTGGGAAAATCTCACGTAATTATGCTGTCTCCCAACAATTTCAAGCAACCCGTCAAGGATCGATGTCAAAGTCCGCCAATTGGGCTAAACATAGCTACCAACACATTTTGTCTGGTGATAAGTGGACCAGTTCGGAGCCTTTATATAATATCCCGCCCTGGGCCGTCCAATACCATTGGATTGTAAGCCGCAAATTCGCATATTAACGCAAGCTGGAGTAGTTCTCACATCTCTCTGTGACTGGATATTCACACTCACCATTGTGTTGCTTATAGCAGCCTTATCATGGCAAGATCTGGGTTCACAACGACCATGTGGGATCTTCTACAGAGCAGCGGTCTTCGGCTGCGATTGGGTGGCTTCTCAAGGCGTGGATGAAGGCTGGACAGTGGATACAGCTACCAAACTGCCGAGGCTGTCAAGGTCGCCTTGTGGATACAGGTTGAGCCTGGCTCCTTTATTCTGATGATCGACCGTATTCTGCCCAATCACAAGCAGTACTTAGATGAGGCAGACATAAGCAGTGCCATGCTGATGTCCGTGTATCGAACCCTACAGGGCATTAGATAGTTGATCCAGGTACACTGGCGCTTTGTCCACGTGTGCCATCTGCCAGCCTGATGTTGACACACAGAGGATGCTCTCAACCATTTTTGTCATTGTTTCTTCCCAAAACATAATTTGTCTCCCTCTGCCATGGCTTTCGCTTGACCTATCGAGGTGCCTCATTTGACAAGACCGACAGCGCTATGAGGCTCATCGGATCGCTACATCTCGTACTATTCCTGGCTTCGTTCGGAGTGATGGGTAAGCCATCTTTGCAGCCTAGAACTGCCAAAGCGACGGACTCAGACAAACTGCACCAGCGCCGTGCATTTCTCTCTGGTAACACACCCACTCAGTCTTGGTTTGCTAAATATTTGAAGCTCATCCCTTCCTCTCCCTCTATCCATAGTTGCAGTGCTGGGCGATTATCTGTATATTGAAGGCGGCGAGCAGTCTCACTATCTCGATTCAGGGAAAAAGGGCTCCGACAACAACGGGAACGAATTCAACACCGATGCCGGGGCAGGTAAGTGAATGCAAACTTTGCCTATCTCAACAAACCAAAAAGATTGATGGTTCAAGTCTGACGATTCTTGTCTTGTGGGAACAGATCAAACCGTAACTCAGTTCATTCCAGTAAACCAGCGCTGGGCTCCGCAAGATGTTCAATTCGATACGATCTCGCACGAAGCTTCGGACATGAAGATGGTGAACTTCCCGAGTTTCTGGGCGATCGGGAGCACACTCTACAGATGGGGCGGCCAGTTGAGTAATGGACTGCAGTATGCTGAAGGGGACAAACCCTACCTCTTTAGCGTTTTGCCTGGTTCTGGCGGTGGCAGCGGCCTTACATGGACCAAGAGACCGATCCCAGATTCAAACCAGCTGGCGGGCGCAAATATGGCCTCGGCATCTTGCGACGATACTGGATTTATGTACGGTGGCTACGCCTATAAATCCACCATGTATGCTGAATTTGATGACACTCGACATATATCTGGCATGCTCATGTACAATACGACTATGCAGGCCTGGAAAAACTCGACAACGGAGGTAAGCATTCCTGGAAGGACTCACAGTGCAGGCAAAGCGGTGTGTCTTCCTGGGTTTCTCAACCTCTCTATGGTTGCCACTATGGGAGGCGCGGATCTCGAGACATCTCAGTACCGAGAGTTCACGAACTTTACGTTCTATGACCCAAAATTGGACCGCTGGTACTATCAGAAGACAATTAACCCTCCTTCTCCAATGGACGACTTTTGCGCCGTCGGTATTCAAAGCACCCACGGAACGTATGAAATGTTAGTTAGAAATCAAATTATTTCTTTTAGTTTTAAGGAAGTAGGAGAGGATGAGGACTAATGTTTTGGGGAACAGATTCCTGTATGGAGGCATTGATCAATCAGGGAAGGTGTCGTCTGACATCTGGGTGTTATCATTGCCTCTGTTTAGGTGGTTCCGTTACACACTAAATGCCAGTGAACCGAGAAGCAATCATGCGTGCGCAATTGCCGGCAAAAGGCAGATGATATCCGTTGGCGGGATTGATCGGACCAACAGCTCAGATGCTTGGACGGCCCAAGATCCTTGGTATAACACCCTCGGAGTCTTTGATTTGGCCGAATTGAAATGGAAGGACGTATATGACCCGAATTTGGGAGACTACAATACACCAGCCGAGATCTGGTCATACTACACAGATCAGTATGCCTGTCACTGAATCCTGAGAAGAAATTTGCTGACCTTGTATAGAGCGCTCAAGCAGATCCAGTGGGACATGACTGAAGTAGCAAACATGTTCATGAAACCTTGTATGAATCTTTCAGATTTATGAACTATTGCGGCAAATCTTTACTAACTAACGCTGCTGATAGATTATGAGAAAAATCCAAAAGGATCCCAACCTGGTAATGACACCACCTCCAACAACACCGACAAAGGGAAGAGTAAACCAGCCGGCGCCATTGCAGGAGGCGTTGTAGGAGGCGTGGTAGGAGTTGCTGTCATCTCCGCCCTTGTATGGTTCTTATTCCGTCGACGACGTAGTGTTGTGACTGGCAGGGACCAGTCCAACTCGTGGCAAGACTACTCTACTCAACAGGCAAAAGGGCCTGCCTCGACTCCTCCGGCTGACTCGGGCGCGAGCTATGAGCTTCATTCTACAACAGTAGTGGCAGAACTTGAGGGTGGCTCGACAAGCCATGTGCATTTAAAGCCAAATTCGCCAGGCTAGGGGACCTTTATTTGTGAAGAAGTATATACTGAACCGTTAAGAAGAGACATATATTAATTATAGTGGACGCCTGCAACAGTTGAGTCTCATAGCTAACAACCTCTTTCTATTGAAAGTAAATAAACCACCGCGAATATGAAGAGAACCACTAAATCCGACGTCAGCTGAAAATATTATGAAGTCAATAATGCGTGTCAACACTCCCATCTCGATATCTAGTCAAAGCAACATCGCGATCCAAATACCCAAGGTTTCAGAGAGACTCGCTGTCTTCGGACTCAGTGCCTTCAGATTCGCTGTTAACAGACTCAGTGTAAAAGCCATCAGGGTCAGAGCCATTAGGGTCAAATTCATCAAGGTCAAAGCCATCGGGGTCAAAGCGAAAGGGGTCAATGTCCTCAGGGTAATCATAAACGCTCCTCGCCTGCGGCTGCACAAATAGTTCCTTCAGAAACGGACTTCTTGTCATCATCACCGCCGAGTGCCCAGCATGGTTTCTAATATCAGGATGCACGCCCTCACAGTTCAACAAGAAGGATATCATCGATCTGTTACTGACCAAGGTAGCAAGTATCAGCGCTGTATCACCGTTTTTGTCTTGATGGTTCAAGTTTGTCCCCCTGACATTTGCGAGGACTCCGGCTGTTTGTTGACTATCTTCACGTACTGCGACCATGAGAGGCGTCTGGCCGTTGCTGTCTGGAGTGTGCGGGTTGGTCTCCGGCATGGCGAGCAGAGTCTGAACTGCGGCAGGGCTGTCGGAGCAGGCTGCAAGAAAGATTGGTGTCCAGCCAAGGTCAGAGCCGCGTATTTCTATGTCCGGGTGTTGCAAAAGGCACCGAATGACATCTGGCTGCCCAAATCGCATGGCCCTAAGCAATGGCTCGCGAGATGGCTCATACTGTCTCCCTTTTCGCATGCTACCATTCGGGTCGGATCTTGGGTCTCTGATCAAAGCGCAAGCGATATCTTGCGTCTCTTCATATATGGCGTACTCGACAGGGTTGGGTCCACGTCGTGCTCTAAGATTGAGTTGCGGATAAGCAAGCAAGGTCAGAACCGATCTGAGCTGCTTGCCTTTGATTGCCCCTTCCAAGGCACCCTTTCCCATCCCATCAATAGCATTGATATCAGTGCCTGGAAAGGATAGCAACAGCCGAATCAGATTGGTATGGCCAAAGTGGCATGCCCACCACAGAGGCGAGTGATGCTTCTTCCTCCTAGAGGGATTCACCTCAATTTTGCCAGTCTCGATGAGCATTCGCGCGGTGGCTTCTTGGCCATTCGCGACAGCCTGAGTGAGCGCATCACCCTGATATATATAATAGTCCCACCGGACTTTAGGTCGCGTCCTGGCTCCTTTCCACGTTCCTGAATGTCGGCTCCAGCATTGAGCGCCATTTGGACAGTAGTTATGTAACCCTTGGCCGAACCAAAGAGCAAGGGCCAGACCCCCTCTGTCTTGATATATCGCTGGTAAATCCTCTGATTGAATTGTGCATGCAATATTCGACACACACGGGTCAACTGGTTGACATCTCGATATCGATGGACATGACCATGCAGTTTCTTTCCATCCTGAAATAGGTTCTCAGCAATAAGGTCCAGAATCTCCACTGGGAATTTCAACAACATCCTATTTTGACTCTCAGCTTTTATACTGGCGAATGTTCTCGCGCGTATCGTGCCTTGGGGGG